TCATTTGAGCTTTTTTCTTACACAAATCCTGATTTGGAAACACCTATATCACCATTGCGTGTTAGTAAGGAAATTTTCACTGAACTTGTTTCTTAAAAAGTACCTGATATAAGTGAAGGTTTGGGTGTTGTTGATCCTGATTTAGTTGTTCGGGAAGTGTTGAATTCAACTAATCAACAAGAGAATGATGATAATGTTAATGAGGTTATTGAAATTGAAAATGAACATGACAATGTTGCTGGTGGTCCTACTGTTTCATTTACTGCTCCTGCATCTTCCTTGGCACAAGCTCCCGCTATTGGTAAGCCTTCTTTTGTAATTGGTGGTGATGTTCTTGAAATTGCACCCGGTGTTTCTCAGCCTTCCTTGGCACCTACTGTTTCTCATCCTTCTTTGGCACCTACTGTTTCTGTGCCTTTCTCAACACCTGTACCTTTGGTTTCTGCCGGTGGTGTTCGTGAGGTTTCACGTACTGTTTCGCTGCCTTCCTCAGCACCTTTCTTCGCACCTGTAAGTTCGGTTTCTGCCGGTGGTTTCGTGAGGTTGCACCTACTGTTTCGCTGTCTTCCTCAGCACCTGCTTCTGCGCCTGTAGGTGTTGTTTCAAAGGATAAACCTGAAAACCAAGAAGTAAGTTCTTCTGGCAAACCGAAGGGGAGGTTGAGGAAAGCTCCTACTCAGAAGGAACCTACAACCAAAGCTCCTGAGGAAGGTGCTAGGAAGAAGGCAAGAAAACCAAGGAAGGAAGTGATTACTGCTAGTATTGTTGGTCACACACCAGAGGAATCATTAGAGATATTGAAACAGATTCATGCTGGTGATGATGGTGAGGAGTCTTCTGATAATAGTGGATCTTCTAGTAGTTCTGCAGAGCATTTAATTTGTAATATTTACTCTGGTACTGCTGGTGGTTATAAATTACAGTTATTATCAAGGTTTTTAAGGGTTAAGAACCCAAAAGTTAAGAAGATGAAGAGTATTAGACTTGCTGTTGCTGATTATTGTTTTGCTGAAAACTATGATGGTGTTGACAATATGTAAGTGCTTTATTGCTCTTTGATTTATTATTTATTATAAGTTACTAATAAGAGTTATATGTTTTACTTATTAAAGTTTATATGGTTTACTTATAATTATTTTTAGGATTACTTATACAGTTTATTTTTGTTATTCATTAAAGTTTAAGCTGTTACTTTATAAGGCTTATACAGATTACTTATAAGAATAATAAGGATTACTTATAATTGTTATAGGTGTTACTTATTAAGTTTTATATGTGTTACTTAATATAAAAATACCAATTACTTAATTGTTGTTAAGGGATTACTCAAAGATATTCAATGGATTACTTAATACCAATTAGTTTATGGTTTACTTTATGATATTATAGAAATTACTTAATAGTATAATAGGGGTTACTTATAAGAGTTTATTGTTTACTTATAAAGTTTAAAGGAATTACTTATAAAGTTTAAAGGGGATACTTATAAACTTTAAAGTTGATATTTATTAGTTAGAGTTTAAGGGTTTACTTATAAAGTTTAAAGGGATTACTTACAAAGTTAAAAGTGGTTACTTATTAACTTAAAAGTGGTTACTTCTTAATTAGATTTTAAAGGTTTACTTTAAAAGTTTAAAGAGAATTTTTTATAAAGTTTAGGGGATTACTTATTTAATTTAAAGGGGATATTTATAAACTTTAAAGTTTTTACTTATTAGTTTGAGAAGAGTTACTTAATAAATGATGTAGGTGTTACTCTTAAGTTTAATACAGATACTTATTAGTGTTATAGGTTGTTACTTTTTAAGTATTATAAACATTACTTATAAGTGTTATAGGTGTTACTTATTAAATTTTTGTCTGTTACTTAATATAAAAATAACAGTTACTTCATTGTTGTTAAGTGATTACTTAAAGATATTCAATGCATTACTTAATACCAGTTATTTTATGGATTACTTATTCATACTATAGTGATTACTCATGTAAGCCTATTTGTTACTAATTCTATTTTTTTGAAACAGGGAAACTTTAGTTTTTTTTCTGAATTTTATAATCTGCCTCGTGAAGAACTGATGTCATTGGTTGGTGAAGAGTTTATTTCAAGCCGTGTTATGGACTGTTTTTTTATTTTGCTGAATTACTTGGAGGTGCAAATAAATGATGATGGTATCAAGGTTTATTTTGGTGGAGAATTTTTGGTAATTGACTTATGATCTCTGTTTATTTTATGTTATTTAATATTTGTTTTTCTTATTTCAATTGTTTTATTTTGTTAGTATCCTTTATTGCGTTTTATATATACTGGAGAAGGAAGTGCTGATGAATTAGAAGTTTTTGGGGCTTGGGATCATTGGCTTCAATCTGTTCAAACAATGGAGTTTCTAGATGCTTTGCTGGTAATTATCATTGGCTTGATAAATTTACTTTATGTAGATTTTCTATGCAATTTTTAATAGTTATGGAAATTGATTTTGTATATATATATATATTTTTTTATACAGATTTTCATTCCAATTTACTATGGGAATTACTATTCTGTTGTTGTGATAAATTTTTATACCAACACTGTTGATTATTTGGACAACCAAAGGTATTATATTGGTGTTGGAAGGAATTGTACTAAGACTTTTGATGCTCATCATGCATATTATTATACAATCACTTGGCACTTGGTATATATTTTTATTTAGTATTTAGTTAAATTTAATGTGTACTTTTATTTTGTTGTTCTGATATTTTTTTTTTCAATAATTCACAGAGACTTCTAATGTCAAAATACCTGGTTAGGAAGAACCATGATCAAGGTCAGCAAGTTGTTGAATTTGAAATTCGAATGCTACAACTTGATTCTCAAGCTTGTCCAAAGAATACAGATTGTGGGGTTTTCTGTCTGTATCATTGTATATCATATGAAGGGGAAGATTTTTATTGTAAAAACTTAACAAAGGTAATTTTTTATGATCCTAGTTTTTTGTTTACTTATATTTTTATTTATAACTAATTTATGACTTTGATTTGTTTTGTATTTTTAGGCACTTGAACGACGTCGATATCGTGCTGAAATATGTGCTTCACTGGTTTTGTGCAACTTAAACCAATTAAGGGATGAGATTCTTAATAAGGTTCAGAATTTTGCTGATAATAACAAGGAATTATATGAAGAATTTATGATTAATGATGAGATTGATCGTCAAGAAAAAGCTTCTATTGCAGAAAAAGAAGCTAAGAAAAGTGCAGAATTGAAGGCAGAAGAAGAGTCATTTAAAGAGGGTGAACAAAAGAACCAAAACAAGTACCAAGCTTCTAAAAAAGCTACCACTAGCAGAAAGTAAGAATTAGTTTTACATTATGTCAATATTTCTAGATTGAACATAGTTTATGTTTTTTTTTTATTTAAGAACAAAGATTCTATATGGTTATTTGAACAAAGTTTTTGTTTTTTTTATATAAATAGTTGATTATTTTGCTTTTACAATTTTTGAGTCATATTGTTAACAAATAATAGGTGTTACTGATTTAGCATTACAATTATTACTTATTTATATTATATTGGTTGATTATGTAAGTCTATTTGTTACTTATAAGAGTTTATTGTTTACTTATAAAATTTAAAGGAATTACTTATAAAGTTTAAGAGACTACTTGTAAAGTTTAAAAAGGATACTTTTAAACTTTAAAGTGGTTACTTATTAGTTAGAGTTTAAGGGTTTACTTATAAAGTTTAAAGGGATTACTTGTAAAGTTATATGGATTACTTGTAAAGTTTAAATGGGATACTTATAAACTTTAAAGTGGTTATTTATTTATTAGAATTTAAGGGTTTACTTACAAAGTTTAAAGGGATTTTTTTATAAAGTTAAAGGGATTACTTATTTAGTTTAAAGAGGATACTTATAAACTTTAAAGTTGTTACTTATTAGTTTTAGAGGGATTACTTAATAAATGATGTAGGTGTTACTCTTAAGTTTAATACAGATTACTTATTAGTGTTATAGGTGTTACTTATAAGTGTTACTTGTAAGTCTATTTGTTACTTATAAGAGTTTATTGTTTACTTATAAAATTTACAGGAATTACTTATAAAGTTTAAGAGATTACTTGTAAAGTTTTAAAAGGATACTTTTAAACTTTAAAGTGGTTACTTATTAGTTAGAGTTTTAGGGTTTACTTATAAAGTTTAAATGGATTACTTGTAAAGTTATATGGATTAATTGTAAAGTTTAAATGGGATACTTATAAACTTAAAAGTGGTTATTTATTAATTAGAGTTTAAGGGTTTACTTACAAAGTTTAAAGGGATTTTTTTTATAAAGTTAAAGGGATTACTTATTTAGTTTAAAGGGGATACTTATAAACTTTAAAGTTGTTACTTATTAATTTTAGAGGGATTACTTAATAAATGATGTAGGTTTTACTCTTAAGTTTAATAAAGATTACTTATTAGTGTTATAAGTGTTACTTATAAGTGTTTCAAGTGTTAATTATTATTAAGGTTAATCATTATTAAGGCTTATGAAGTTTTATATGTGTTACTTAATATAAAAATATTAGTTACTTAATTGTTGTTAAAGGATTACTTAAATATATTAAATGGATTACTTAATACCAGTTACTTTATGGATTACTTATTCAGATTATAGTGATTATTCATGTAAGCCTATTTGTTACTTATCCTATTTTTTATGTGTTAAGAGTTATAGGATTTACTTATAAAGTGTAAAGGGTTTACTTACAGGAATTACTTAAAGAGTTTAAAGGTTTACTTTATGTTAATATAGCAATTACTTAATATTATAATGAGGTTACTTTTTAGCATTAGAAGCATTACTTTATATTTTCATATGGTTCTTAAAAGCATTTGAGTGTATACTTAATAATATGGGTTACTTAATATTATATCATAATAAAGTAAGGTATGATATTTAAATATAGAAACATAGTTTATAATAAGGTCTGAAATTTAAATATAGAAACATAAATATCCTATCATAAAGAACTTAAAATAACTTTGGATTTTGTATTGGAGTGATTGTTCCAAATTCTCTTGTATCTCCCTTTGCTGTCATTGCTTTTGTTTTTTTCTTGTTTCCTTGCTTTCCTTTCTCAAAATGTCCTTTTATTCTCTTGCTTCTTCCCTTGGTGTTTTCTCTTTCTGGATCCATAACAGTAGGAATTTGTTCTTCTGTTTCTGTTGTTGGAGTAGTGTTTTTTTGCTGCATTGATTCTGCTTCTTGACTTGCTGCATCTTGTTCTTCCTGCAATAAAACAATGATTATTTTTGGTGCATTGGTATGTTTAATTAATACTACTGGTTTACCTTTTCCAATCCGTTTCTTATTTCATCTGCTAGTATATCAAGTTTTTTAAACTCTGACTCTATTAAATTTTTGGTCTCTAGGTGTTGTTGGCATTTCAAAATCAGATTGTAGCCTTTTCTTACCATAATTTGTCTCCATGGAATGTATTTTATGGGAATTCTTTCATTTGCTGATTCTTCATCCCTTCTTCTCCATACATGTGCCTTTGCATATTTTGTCCACCTCATTATGATATATCTGTCTGGTATTTTGGTGATTGAATGCTGTTGTAACATCTGGATACAGTGATAGCATAACCACCCAACTTCTTCAAAATTTTTGCATGAACAAGCTATGCTGCTGTCTGCCATGTTGAATGTAACTTTTTGCTTTGAAGCTTCATTATTCTCTAATTTCACTTCATAAAAGAAGTAACCTTGAGTTTGATATTGAAGATTTGTTACGCATCCAATTGAAAATTCAAATTCTGTTTCAAAATATCTGAATATGGTTTGTGTGTAGACCTCTGCTGCATGCTTTATCATTCCATAGAACGGTAAATTTGAAGTTGGTTTAGAATTGGAACATTTGAAATCTGCATCAAATTCATTGTTCCTCCACCTAGTCACTGTTTGTTTAAATATCTTGAAAAAATCAGTCAAGCTTGTGTTCTTGTTTGCCTTGAAACCTACAACATTATTTGCACTTTCACTTCTTTGAGAAGAGAGTATTCCTGCTGAAAAAAAGTCTTTACTGAGAGCAGTGCACCATTTTTCTTTCAAGCTGTATAATCTTTTGAACCATCTATTATTTTCTAGCTTGTAAGTAGTTATCATGATTGTCCAACAATGCTCAAACTCTTCTTCTGTTACACAACCTGTTAGACACTTATTAAAAGCATCTTTAAAAGTTGTGTCTCTTTTTAGTGCTCCAAATCTTGACACTGCATTCTTAATTAGATGCCATATGCAAAGTCTGTGTCTTGAGTGTGGGAAAACCTGCATTTAATATTTTGTTATTTTTTTTTTGAATTTATATTCCTTATGCAAAGTCTGTTATTTTGATTGTTACTTATTGTTTTTAATAGTGTTACTCATTTCATTATAAAGTTAACTTAACAGTTTAATAGGGTTACTTATTGCATAATAAGGATTACTTATTGCCCTATAAAGGATTACTTCTTGAACTATAAAGGTTACTTATTGCATTATACTGATTACTTTTTCATTGTAATAAAGTTACTTTTTGCTCTATAAGGTTATTTATTAAATTTAATAAGATTTTATACTGAATACTATGGTGTTACTTATATATTCTGACATATGTGTTACTTATGTTGTATAATAGGGGTTACTTTTGTATTTTAATGTAGTTACTTATTTGCAAAACATATATATTAATAACTAATTAATATTTTGAGGGGGTTTACTTAATAGTATTATATGGATTACTTAATGGTATATAACTAATTACTTAATAGTATATAACTAATTACTTAATAGTATATAACTAATTACTTAATAGTATAAAAGGTTTTAATTAATAGTATTATAATAGCAATTACTGAATAATATGAAAAGTGTTACTTTATATAAAAAAACAGGGAAAATGTAAATTTACCTTTTGAATTGCAACTGACATGGCCAAGTCTTGGTCGGTAAAAATTGAGGCTGGCTCACTTCCACCAACTGATTTCTTAAAAGTAGATAATACCCACTCAAATGTTTCTATTTTCTCATCAGCAATAAAAGCACAACCAAACATTACATTTTTCCAATGACTGTTGACACCCACAATTGGCGCACAAATAAGATTATATTTGTTCGTCCTATATGTGGTGTCAAAAATAGTAACATCTCCATAAATATCAAAATCTTCTTTCATTTCTGAGTCCCTCTAGAAAATGACAGTAAGTCTATTTGTTTTTTCTCCTATCTTGAATCTGAAAAAGAAATCTGGTTCCTCTGATTGTCTTTGATTTAATATGTCTATGACAGTTTGTGCATCACCTCCTTCGATCTCCATAATTTTCTTTCTTGTTATGTAATTAAAATGATCTTTCATTGTGTGTGCTAATACATTTTCACCACCAGCTTCATAAGCCATTAAACGATAAGATTCTGCTGGTCTTAGTCCACTTTCAGCTATTATATCTATAATTTTGCCTTATCTTCTGTTATTTTTCTCTCTGATCTTTGTAAATGCTGCCATTCTCTTCTTGTCAGTTCATGATTGTGTTGCATGACATGTTCTTCTACTTCAAACATACCTTCTTTATTCTTTTTTGCTCTGATGAATGCTTTGCAACCAGTTCTGGTGATTGGAACTTGCCTTTTCTTCTTCTATTTTTGTCCAGGAATAGGAATAGGAGTTTTATGGTTCTTTGGTTTTACTCTGAAACCTTCTTTTGAACAAACAAAATCTTTTCCTCTTACTTTTTTAGGTTCTGTTTGTGTGTATCTTGTTGTTGATTGTCTTACACCAAATCCAATCACAAAAGCATGTTTTTTATATTCTTCAAAAATTTCTTCTAAAGTTGCAGCAGTAAATCCAACAAGGCTCCCTGTATAATCTATTTCATGTTGTTCTGCATATCTGGCATCATCTGTTAAGGTGCTTCCACTTAAATCTGTAAAAACAAATTAATTATTGTATTATACGGGTTACCCTTAAAGTGTAACTGTGTTACTTATTGTGCAATATAAATTACTTATTGCGCAATAGGGATTACTAATTGTTTAACAGGAATTAGTTATTGCATTATAGTGATTACTTTTCCACTGTGATTGGGTTACTTATTATATAACAGGGATTATTTTTTTGCATTATAGTGATTACTTTTCTAATTTAGAAGGTTACTTATTTTGTGATATGAGTTACTTATTGTTTTTTAGGGGCTTCACACTGTAATAGGGTTACTTATTGCATTATAGGGGTTACCCTTAAAGTGTATCAGGGTTACTTATTGTGCAATAGAAATTACTTATTGCGCAATAGGGATTACTAATTGTTTAACAGGGTTTACTTATTGCATTATAGTGATTACTTTTCCACTATGATAGGGTTACTTATTATACAACATGGATTATTTTTTGCACTATAGTGATTAAATTTCTAATTTAGAAGGGTTACTTATTGAGTGATATGAGTTACTTGTTGCATTATAGGGTTTACTTTCATACTGTAATAAGGTTACTTATTGCATTATAGGGTTTACATATTGCATTATAGGGGTTTACCTTCACATTGTAATACCTCTCTACTTTAAAAGGGTTACTTATTGTGTGATAGGGGTTACTTATTGTTTTTTAGGGGTTTACACCACTACTACAATTGTTGCAAAATCCAACGATCTTAACAACAACGTGTCAACAAGGAACCGTTATATTAAGTAGCTTTAAAAATATACTATAATGTATGACAACTCTCCTTCTTGAACCATTGTTATAAGTTGATATCTTTAACAACGAATTATGAATCAGACAACGTATTATATTTAACCGGTGTTAAAGGTAATTGTTTATGGCTAGACTCTAGTTTAGCCATTTATCCCTACACCCCCCCTAAACGACGCCGTACCACTACCCCCACACATTCCAGTAACTTCCCTCTAAAACTGCCAGTAACTTCCCACTACCCCACCCATATATATATATAATTAAAAAAAAAAAACTTTTCAAATAATCACATTTTTCTTTCTCATCCTCTTTCTCCAATTTCTCACTCAACCTCCATTTTCTCTCTCTACACCATTTTCGTACATGCAATTAGCAAGTAAAATTGTCTAAAATGTCCGACATAAGAGACGAAATTGCACAATCTCGACAAATTTCAACAACAACAAACCAAAAATCTAATGAGTAAGTATGTTTTACATGTTTAGTGTAAAATTAATTGAAAATTGCGAAACAAAACCCTAATTTTTTGGTATTTTTTCTTTTTGATGATGCTTCAGGAAAAAAATTGAAAATACTGGAGTTCCAGAACAATCAAAGTAAGTATTACTATTTTTTTTTTGGAATTATAAGCATAAATTTATTTAAATTTGCTCATATTTAAACAAGTTACTGTTTAATTTCAAAATAAACATAATTTTCCTCTATTTCTGAGACGATAATAAAAATTTAAACAAGTTAGTGTTAATATTGGAATGTATGCATAATTTTGATTAAATGATCAACCAAAAAAAATATAAAGTATAGTATTGTGAAATATAATGAACAAATACAAAACAGTATATGTTCAAATTGGATTGTGTGCATATATGTGTGCATATATATGTATACATATGTTCAAATTTGTATATTATGTGTACAACATGCAATTTATGTTTGTTTCTAAATTGTTCATTTCTAAATTTATGTGTATACATTTACTGACATATTAATTGTTCATTTCTAAATTCCATTTTGTACAAATAGAAAACATATACTTTATTCATCTGTGTAGTAAAATGAACATTTACAAAACACTATATTGTCAAAATTCATATTATGTTATATATATCCATATATGTGTATACAAATGTTCATTGCTACAACTATATTGATCATTTATATGAACTATTCTGTACATTTGTCTAACATAGAAACATCATGTCAATTTTTATGATTTACAATATTAATTTACATTGTAGTGATGTACCATTTAAAGTGATACACTTGATGCAATTTGACAATGGAATGTTCAATCCTTATCCTATAATTCATGAGAGAAAAGAATGTTCTGAAATAGACAACAAATTGGATAGAAATGAAGTTATAAAAAAGTGGGAACCCTATTTATTATGAGACAACCTACATCCCAAGTAAGTTGGTATACTTACAAATATTCATATATGTAATATTTAATGTAAAATCATTTACTTCAATACTTAATCTCATAATTGAAATAATTTGTAAAATTTTAGTGAACCAAAAAAGTTGAAAGTGAAATTTATAATGTCAAGATCAAGGCCAGAGAAAAATCAATCAATAAGGTATAAATACTTAACAAAAATTCAATAATTAATTTTTATACAGTTACATAATCATACTTTTATGTATTAACATTCGAAAAATTTCAGTGAACAAGAGAAGGAAACTTCAAAAATAGAAGATGCATCAACAAATCAAGGGTATATTCTACCTCAATGTGTTTAATGTTCATTTATTTCTTAGTTGTCATACATAATCTAATGATTTGCATTCTCAGAAAAAAAAAACAACTGAAGAGGAAGCAAAAACTGATTACCTACAACAAGAAAAGGCTGGATCAGAATTAGTGAATACAGGGTATTTGATTCCCATAATGTTCATTTTCAAATTACTTAATAAACATTTTTAATTATTTGAAATTAATTGATTTTCAGAAATCAATCACCTAAGAAAGACACAAGAGAGGTTGAACAACTACAACCAAAAAAGGATGCAGCAGGGTATTTTCAGAAATCAACTAATGTTCATTTTCATATTAGTTGATAAACATTTTTAATCATTTTCAATTTTTAATTTTCAGAAATCAATCAACTGAAGATGAGCCTCTAAAAGAGGCTACAGCAAAGGATCAGCCTACACAACAAGTGAAGGCTATAGCAGAGGATGAGCCTCCAGCAGAGGAAGAGCCTCCAAAAGAGGATGAGCCTCCAGCAGCAGTTGAAGAAACACATTCATACATAATGCAAAAGTATGAACATATATAACTTATTAAATGTTTATATTCCACATTTACAATATTATTGATCATAAATTATCTGTTGCCAGGAAAAAGTTAAAAGTGTCAACTCAAGGAATACTAAAAAAACTGACAAAAAACTGGAAAACTGCTCCTGTTAGCAAGGTCATTGCTGCTAAAAAGGCCCCTGCTACAACTGTTGATACTGCTGGAAAAGCCACTGCTGCTGAAATGGCCCCAGCTACAACTACTGAAAAGTCCTCTGCTGCAGAAAAATCCCATGCAGCAAGTTCTGCAAATGCACAACAGAAGGCCCCTGCTGAAATTAAAAAAATCCTATTAGGTAATGTACATAATTGTTAAATAAAATATTAAATTTTTTTAATCAATAACACTTATACTGAAAATGTTCATTTACCAATTTGTAAATGATCTAAATGTATAGGTGGTGAAGAAATTGAGATTGAGGATGAAACAGAAGAAGAATTGGAAAGACAAGAAGAATTGCAAAGGGATGAGGAGTTGACAAGAATATTGAGAGGTATAAAACCTGTTGAAGAGTTAAATTTGTCTCAAAAGAGTGAAAAATCTTCACAAAATTCAAAGCAACCAAGAAGGAAAATGGTTGCAAGGAAAAATCAAAAGAAAAAAGAATTGGAAGAAAATCAGAAAAAACAGGAATATGAACAATCACCAGCAAGAAGAACAAGAAGTAAATCACGAGGTAAATAAAATGTACAATTTCTAATATAACAATGATCATATTAAATAAAATATTACAACTATATTAATATTTATATAACAATATTTATTTGCAGATGTTAAGTTTCCGGCATATCAGCTATAGCAACAGCTGCTGCAGCAATTGCTGAAAACCTACCAGCAGCAACAACACCCAAAAAACCTGGGCGTCCAAGGGCTGCAACTGCAGTTGCAGAGAAACCTGTTGAGAAAACAGGGCGTACAAGGGCTGCAGTTATTGGGAAAGCAGGCCAAAAAGGTAAAAGAACATATCTAAAACAATAAATGTTCAATTACAATCTTACACTTTTAAAATGTTTATTTTACTTAATGTAATTGATCAAATAATTAGGTGGTCAGAAAAGACCTGCTGCATCAGCCAAAAGTCCTGCAAAAAAAAGAAAAGTCATAGATCAAGTGCCTTATGATGAACCATCAGAGGATGAAGAACAAGAAGAAGTCCCTGCAACAAGTTTTGCTCCTGCAGAAAAGAAAATTCTTAATAAAGTAGAACAAAAAGGTAATGTACATATTAATAAAGTTAAATGTTCAAATACAAACTAGCAATTTACACTTTCATATATATATGTTCATTTTACATATTATAATTGATCAAATGTTTAGGTGGCCAGAAGAGGCCTTCTGCATCAGCTAAAGGCCCTTTGAAGAAAACAAAAATCATTGAAGAACAATCAAAGGAGGAAAATGAAGAAGATGATAAAAGTAATACTGATAGTGGATCAGACAGTGAGGATCCAGCTTTTGATGCTGAAAAAGAAGAAGATGAAGAAAGTGAGGAGGTGGAAGTAGTTCAAGAAAAGAAAACAACATTGAAAAAACCAAAAGCTGAAGAAAAAAGAATGGTTCTGTATGAGAGGGAACCAATAAAAAAGATTGTGAAGAGGAAAACTGAATTTTCAGTGGCTAAAAAAAAAGAAGAGGAGGAAGAAAAGAATGAAGAGGAAGTTAGAAGTTCGACAAGAGGAGGCCATGTCAAATTCATGCATTGGGTTAAGAAAATGAGTGATACACAGAAGAAATTAGTGCATGAAATAGGACTGGGGCCGTTGTTGGATATAGAACTTCCTCAGCTTGACAAACAATTCAGCCATTGGGTTTTAGATAGCTTTGAAGTTAGTAGTTGTAGTTTTGAGCTGCCTAAAGGTGAAAAAATTGAAATTGAGGTGGAGGATGTGAGAATTGTATATGGTTTGCCAATGGGAGACATTCCCATTGTTGAAGCCAAATCAGACAGAGCAAGTGAAGATTTTGGTGTATTTATAAAAAATTGGAGGTCAAAATGGCAAGGCAAAACACCATCTGTAAACCAAATTATTGCTCAATATACAAGTGATAAATTCAAAAACCAAAGGCCAGCAGAAGAAGATTTTCTCACCAACTTTTTGGTAGTTGTTGTGAATTGTTTGATGAAGTGTATTTCAAACAACCAATGCCATTTCAAGTTTCTGTTTTCTATGATGGACAAAGAAAAAATAAAAAACTTGAATTGGTGTCAGTACGTGTTTGACTCTCTCATCAGTTGCCATGTGACATGGAGAAAGAGTGGAGGAAAAGGATTCTACAATGGACCACTGCAATTTCTGATGGTAAGTTTACAACACACAATAGTAAATTATAAAATGTTCATTTTAGTAACAATGAATGTTCATTAACAAAATGTTAAATATCGATTTCGTCTAAAATTTTAATCTTTTATATTAATTGTTCATTTGTATTATATTATATGTTCATTTATAGTAATGGGTTTTGGTGCAGCTGTTCTACTTTGACAGAGTTCAAAGATTGAACAAAAAACAACCAAGAACAATTCCAATAATTTCTTGTTGGAAAAGGGATATGTCACTTGAAAGGATAAAAACAGAAAATGATTTGAACTATGGATATGGAAAAGTCCTTCCAAGAATAGAAGAAAAGCCTGCAGACAATCCTAAGGTACAAAATGATCATTTATAAATTATGAAATGTTCAATATCAAAACACATAATGTCTTATATGATTTTTCTTATATGTTCTATAAATGACAGGTCATTATGAATGAATTTGCATCAATGGTACAAGAAGTTGGTGCATCTTTGGCAAGACTTTCTACCAAATTGGTTAAGGCAAAAGAGCTCTTCCCTGGGAATCAGTTGGTCAAGAAGGTAGATGAAGTGTTGGGAAAGATGGCAAGAGAACAATCAATTCTCAGCCAAGATGAAGAAATATTTGGATCAGAGGATTTTTTGAATGCCATAGCTCAAATTGAGAAGGAACTGATGGAGGCAAGTGAAGCAGAAAAAAAGAAAATAGGAAATGAGAAGGAATATGATATAAGGAAGGCATTCAGTTTGGGTTGCAACTTAACTCCCCCAACTCCAACAACTGGTAAATATGCTTAATTAAAAACTGTCATTAATTTGAATATCCTTACTTAAAGAGTATAATATAATTAAAGAATTAAAATTTAATTTATTTGAACACAGAAGCACAGATTAATGTTGCAGCCACAACTTCAACAACAACTGATGCAAATGTTTCTTCTAAGCCAGAAGAGGGTAAAGCTTTAATATCTATGTACAATTATGAAAAGTATAATGTTCATTTATAAAATAATAAGTTTGTTTAGTCTAAATATTCAAAAAAGTATATATTCAGAATAACAAATGTTCATTTACATTAACAATTTCATATATTTTAAATCAACAGAAAGAGTTGGAGGTTCAAATTCTGAAGAACCACAAGATGGAGGAAATTCAGAAAAAGGTAAAAAGTTCACTTATATAGTATTAAATGAACATTTGTGATTGTAAGATATTCTTCTTTAATGATACTAAGTCTATATATGTGTGAATGCAAATTAATACAAAAAGCATTAAACAAAGGTGAAGGTTCAAAATCTGAAGCATTAGAAGAAAATGTTGAAGGAAATTCAAAGAGTGGTACAATGTTCACATATTACAAATAAATGATCAAATTATTAAGTATAATGTTCATTTCTAGTTATATTAAATTTTTTTCATGTATTTTGTTTGCAGCATCTGATTCAAAAGTTGGTGATCCCAAGACACCAACTGAAAATAGGGAAGCTGCTGGAGATATTTCTACAATCTTGAAATCTCCAGCATGTTCAAGTATGGAAGATATCCTTGATAAATCAAACAAGAAAGGAGGAAGCATGGGGTAAACATGGAAGACCTATCTTGTTAGAAAATATATAATTTTGAATGGACATGTAGAATAAATTTGGTTATAAAGTGTAATTATTTTGGACAGTTTTTGTTTATGAAGTTAGTAATGGATATGTATTATAAAATCAGAAGGGAATATTTTGCTTTAGGGTAGGAATGCACAATTTAAGATATGTAAATTATGTATTTTAATTTAAATGTTTTAGTAATATTTTAAGTGTTTATTGTTCAAAAAAGGAGAATAATGTTTTTTTTATATTAATTACTCTTCATTACTAACCATGATTAATATTTCAGAGAAGACAAGAAGAAACAGATATATGCTTCAAATGTGAAGGAAAGGTAAATGATTATTCCACATATACATGTTCTTTTACATTAAACTGAATAATCATTTATACTATATTTATATTCAGTGAGACAAAAAAGGATTCAAAAGAAATTGAAACAGAGAAGATTCAAATTTCCAAAAACACATCAGGACAAAAGGTAAATGGTCTTTACATGTGTATAGATTTATAATGTTCATTATCAATATACTAAATGATCATTCATAATTCAATATTTATTCAGTGACAGAGAGAAGACTTTGGAAAGAAAAAAATCAAGAGAAGCTAAGAAGGCAAAAACTGAGATTGCAAAGGAAAAAGAGATAAGGTATTACTATTTGTTCTTTATATAAATTATTTGTTCATTATTAAAAAAATTCATATTTGTATTAATATATGGTCACATTAACTAGGCCGCAAAGGGAAATCCCAAATGTTCCTCTTGCTTTCCGATCTCCATACATGGTCAAGTACAAGGATTTGTTCAAAGATGAAGACACAATGAACAAACTTGTAACAGACTATGCTTATAGTGGAAAATATCAAAGGTATACATCACTTACTTCATTAAAACTTTAACATTATGTTTGTTGTAAACTCATAAAATTTAAAAAATTGATATTTTGCAGTGAGCTACTATACTATGATGGAGTGAATTCGATCAACAGGGAAGAGATGAAAACTCTTGAAGGGGATACATTAGTAGTTAACAATGTGATCGATTCATGGGCAGTACTTCTGAATAAAAAAAGGTCAAAGAACAAGTTATACTTTTCAACATTTCCACATGTAAGTCTTTATTGAAATTACACATGTATACATTGGTGTACTAAAATGATCAATTCACTCATACTAGATGATCATTATGAATATTAAAATGATCCTTGTGCATTATTTGCAGCAAATTATGTATGCAAATACAGTGTGTCCTGAAGGATCATCAATGGAGCTTAGAATTGCATACTTCAAAGAGAGAATAACAAATGAATTGAGGTTATACAAAATCAAGAGTGCAGTTGGATATCAACAGGTATTAATGAACAATATGGAATTATAATATGTTCATTTACATTAATGTGTATATATAATAATATTATGTACTATGTATAGATTTTTTTTCCAGTGGCCATATATGCACATTTCTATCTTCTATGCATTGATCATATCAATGAGACAATGCATATAATTGACAACAGGAAACTGCCAAAACATCAAACAATTGCAACAAAGTATGAAAACCAACCCCAATTGGTGGTAAGTATATTGTTTAATAGATATATAAATGATCAATTTGTTTATACAAAATGATCAATATTGAAAATTAAAATGATCAATATTAATATGATCCTTTGAATTTTTTTTTCTGTATATGTTGCAGTTAAAAGGATATGCAGAATATTTGAAAGGGTTGGGGTATGAAGATGCAGATTCTATTGAGAAATATAAGGTGGTTTTGCAAAAAATGAAGTGGAGGAGCAACGAAGATTACACCAACTGTGGAGTTTACATTATGAAACATATGGAAACTTTCACTGCTGATCCAATTGAAGAATGAGTTTGTGACCTAAAACCAAACAATGTAAGTAAATTTCAACAAAACAAAAAAATATACTTCATGATCACTTTATAATACATAATGATAATTTATATCCCATTAATGTTCATGTTTATAATAAATTATTTTCTTGGAACAGGTGAACCAAATCAGAAAGCTCAGAGTACAATACACTGCTGAACTAATGCTGAATGAAGGAAACAGGCAGTCACAGAACAATAGAAGAGCAGCAAGAAGATTTGCACAAGCTTAATACAATATGTTCATATATAGACATATATATGATCATACTTGCTTTCAGTATTTGTATGGACATAAGTTTTTGTTGTTGTTCAAGTAAAGACAAAATTTATTATCTTTTTAATATTTACAAATAGTAAAGTGTTACATTATAATTGCCAGTTTTAAATCATCTAATATAATTATTCCAATTTAATAATGGTTCTTACTATTTAAAATAGTATATGATCACTTCCAAAAGCAAAAATAATCATTTATAGAACATTTAAGAATAGTTTGAAAAAAAAAAGATTCAAATTACTTAATAAATCAAAATATAAAAAACTTAAAGCACTTAAATCTCTATAAAGTTGAGACAACTAAAAATGTTGATAGTTAAACACCAAAACATAATTACATATTGATTTACTCTCTTATTTACCATTTGTAGCCAATCTCTTAGCCACACTAGTATCAAAAAACGCTAATAACCTATCATATTTGGTTGAAATCTGTGCAGAACCTCCTTGAGTACTTCTTGAAACAGTAGGAGATCCTTGAACATTCATTGAAACACTAGGAGAAAGTAGAACATTCCTTGAAACACTAGGAGAAACTTGCACATTCCTTGAATTTCCTTGAGTACTTCTTGGAACATTAGGAACATCATGCACATTTCTTGAAATACTAGAATCAACTTGAACATTCCAAAAAAAGCCTTGAGTACTTCTTGGAAAATTAGAAGGAGCTTGAACTTTCTTCGGAACACTAGAACAAACTTGAACTTTTCTTGGAGCTTTTGGAGGATTTTGAACAATGCTAGAAACTTTAGAAGGATCTTGAGCATTGATTTGAGCATGCACAACTGTGGGAAATTGTACATTTCTTGGTTTCTTTGGTGGCAATTGAGAACTTGTTGGAAAATTATCAACATCATGAGCAATTGCTGCTGTTTTACCCTAATGATCAAAATTAAAATAATTAATGATCAAATTCAAAATTCATAATGACCTTATACAAAATTAAAAGGTAGATGATTAATATTTCACCTTAACAATAGAAGATATGTCTGGATCAACAGTAACGTTTGATTGCATAGAGCTATATCCATATTCCTATAATAAAATGAAAATTATAAAAACATTATAATCACAACTTAAACTACTAAAATGAACAACTACAATTACATACATAATCATTTACATAATACCTGTTCAAAGTCATTTGAAACACTATCATCTGAAGGGATATCTTCTACAATGGCAGTCTTTTTATTACAAACCTTGAAAAAAAATTAAAAGTAAAAATGTTTAATATTCTAAAGAATTTGATAAAAACAGATAAAAAAAAAGAAAATAAGTTTTTACCTGAGCACTTGGATCTTCAATCACAATTAACTCATTAACAAAAATGAAAAAAGATGAAGAAAAAAAAATGGCAGAATGGTTCAATATAAAACGACGTAGTAGCATGAGGGTGTAGGAGAAGCTGGCTACCCTAGAGTCTAGGCAAAAATTTGTAGTGTTAAAGGAATACAATTTTAATAACGGGCCTTTGGTAAACGTTGTTGAAGGGCCTTAGTATCTTCTACTGTAGTAAAATTCCAATAAACTTTTTCTTCTTAAAAAATAGTAATAAAAAAATAAAATAAAATAATACCAATAAACCCCCGAAATTTATCCCCAAAAAAGCATCAGCTTCTAGTCCCTCTATGACTATCCCACTCTCCCACAAAACCCACTCACAATAGAATTTGGCGGGCTGTGAAACTCTACTTCTCCGCTTCCACTCTCCATAAACGTGATGGAACTGCTCCTATTCCACTCTCATTGTTTCTGTAATGGTGGGAAAAAAAAAAAAATCAAATCTCACTTTTCTCTTTCCTCGTTCTGGTTTGCAAGACATCTTTCTGTACGGTATTCTATCAATTCATCTTGATTTCTTAGGGTTCGTTGCTTGAATTAAACTGATTTGAGTCTAATTTGATGTAATTAGGGAGGCTGAGGTTACGATTTGTAGAGTACATATCAGACAACTTATTTGCGGACTTCGGTAAGTAATTCATCTACTCCGTATTACTAATTTTTAGCTTTTTTGATGTTTAATTTGTTTAATTTAAATTGCATGTGGCTTCATTGGCAAGAATCTGGGTAAATTGTTTCATGAAATTAGATGTATGGTGAATCAATTTTGGTCGGTTTACCATGATTAAGAGGACATGTATATATTTATAGCTAACACACAATTAATTTAACTTGTATTATCTTTGGTATGTAGCTAATTCAAATTTGTTTCTTTCCCCATATTGATATTCTATTTGTTGGATTGGTATGTTGGTTTCTTTCCAATTATAAAAAGAAAATACAATTCCATATTGATTTATTGGGATGATGTTGGCAACGGGTGGGATTTAGTGAATTTTTTTTATTGGAGCTTGTATTATTTTACTTGGCTATGAATAATTACACAATTTCATGTGCATTTAGAATGATATATATTTCGTATTTAGAGTAATAATTGCTTCTGGTTGGTAAACATAGTTTAACAGCTACAATGTAAGGTTATATTATAGTTTTTTTGCTTCTGAATGAGGTAAAAGTACTTGACATCCATAATTAGACTTGTAGGCCTAATACACAATAACACTAGAACTTTGTATGTATTACATATCAACAAGAAAGACCCATTTATAAAATAGTGCTATCATGCTTTTGGAAATGCAAAAAAGTACTATTCCAAACCTCTAGCTATCTGAAGATGACCAACCTCTATAATAGATTTAATCACTATGCCAATAAATTGAGTTTCACTCACATATTTTTTGTTGTAAGAAACACAAAACTAATAAAGGGATTCAAATTACTCCATCAAATTTATGCCCACTCTCGAATATATATCATGCAGTATTACTTTGTTCATATAATCTATAAATAATTCATTTGTAAGATAATTTAAAAGACTACAAAAAAAAAAAAGCTCATTTATCATTTCCTTTTGTATCATTCAAACGAGGTAATTGGGTTTCTTTTGAAAATCAAGCTTAGACTTAAATTATTGGAAAGTTGCATTTTAGGGTGGGGCTCCAAAGCAAAAGTCTGTTGTTACTTCAGAAATAATAAAAAAAAAATCTCTTGAAAATCAATTACTTATTTTATACCCTACTCTAATTGGATATGAAAACATGGATCATGCTCCATATATAATTCATCTTATATATCAGCCTTAGTACTTTCACTCCTCTCATTCTTGCTTAAAAAGCTTAACCTCTGTAAGTATCTCTTTCAAACACAGCTATATGAACATCGATAGTTTTTTATTATTATTTTTTTAGGCAAAATAATCATTTCAATACAAAGATGCTAAAGTCACTAAGCCTTTAAATTTAATAGCCAAAAAATAAATGATGAAAGATATTAGGAATAGATATATTTTAGTTGGTTGTCATGTAAAAGCAAAATTTGAATTGAACAGAATAAATCACCAAATGCATTAGTTTAAGTTAAAATTATCATAGTCAAATATATGAAGTCAGTACAAAGTTAGAGTCGTAGACACATTCAGAAACAAAGACTACTTGTATTACAATTGTATTACAAGAAATCTGATGAGGCATGCCATGTGGTAGCAGCAGCTGATGTGGCAGCGTGACTAATTTTGAAAATAAAAAATAATTGATAGAAGTATTAAATTAATAGTGTTTGATAATAATGAAAGAATATTGGACAAAATCAAATTAATCAAAATTTTTTTTAGATTGATTAAAATTTATTAACTCTTCAATAACACTGACCGTTATGAAAATGTCCTCTTCGTGATTAGTCATAATGGATCGAAAATGGATGTCAAAAGATCGTACCGGAGGAGAATATGAGAAAGGAATGGAGGAGTTCATTGCTTTTGCGGTTAAACATTCTAAACATCCGAATAGAATAATATGTCCATGTGTTGAATGTTGCTTTCAAACCCGACTTAGTGCTGAAGAACTAAGAGATCATTTGACCATTTATGGATTAGATGAAAACTACACGAATTGGGTTCGACATGTAGAGGTTGGAGATGTTTCTCTTGATTGGGGTGGTGCTCACGATGAGCCAAATGAAGACAACACCTGGGAAGGAGGAGATCACTTAGAGGAGTTGACGCGTGTGATTGAGGAAGAATTACAAGATTGCCCAGAAATGCTTGATAACATAACTAATGATGCAAAAACACCCTTATATCCCGGTTGTACAAAACACACAAGATTGTCAACTATCTTAAAATTGTACAACATGAAAGCTGGCAACGGGTGGAGTGATAAAAGCTTCACAACGTTACTTGAATTTTTAAAAGATGTGTTGCCTGAGGACAATACAATTCCGAGTAGTTCATATGAGGCCCAAAAGATGTTGCGTTCAATGGGCATGAGCTATGAGAGGATACACGCATGTCCTAATGATTGCATTTTATATCGAAAGGAGTATGCATCTTTAACAAAGTGTCCTGAGTGCAACGTGTCTCGATACAAGAAGAAAGATAAGGTTCCTGCCAAAGTGTTATGGTACTTTCCCATTGTACCAAGATTTCGACGTTTGTTTAGTAGTCCAGAGGATGCAAAGAACCTGACTTGGCATGCAAATGGGAGGATTAAGGATGATGGTATGCTTAGACACCCTGCCGATTCTCCGCAATGGATCAAAATTGATAAAGAATTTCCTGAATTTGCTCATGAAGATAGAAATCTTCGTCTTGCACTCGCCACCGATGGCATGAACCCATTTGGCTGTCAAAGTAGCTCATATAGTGTATGGCCTGTTATTCTGGTTATATATAACTTATCTCCAGAGTTGTGCATGAAAAGAAAATATATGATGCTATCTATGTTAATCTCAGGGCCAAAACAACCTGGGAATGACATAGATGTTTATCTTGCGCCCCTTATTGAAGACTTGAAGATGTTGTGGGACACAGGTGTTGAAGTGTTTGATGCATCTCATAACGAGAATTTTAATTTAAGGGCTATGCTTTTTGGGACAATAAATGATTTTCCTGCGTATGGAAATCTCTCTAGATATAGTAACAAAGGATATAAGGCATGTCCTATATGTGATGATGGTATGTGTGACATGTATTTGAATCACAGTAACAAAGTTATTTATCCTGGTTATCGTCAATTTCTGCCATCAGACCATCACTATCGTAGACTAAAAAAAGCTTTCAATGGTAAGACAGAAGAGGGTAAAGCACCTAAGCCACTAAGTGGTGATCAAGTTTTTGAAAAGGTAAAAGGGTTGGAAGTCAAATTTGGAAAACAAAATGCAGATCTTCTTCCCAGCACTGGTTATAAGAAGAAGTCAATAGTTTTTTACCTTCCATATTGGAGCTCTTTGTATGTGCGACATTTTCTTGATGTCATGCACATTGAAAAAAATGTGTGTGATAGTCTTATTGGAACTTTGCTTAATGTTCGTGGAAAGACCAAAGATGGTAAAAAGTCAAGATTGGATCTCGTTGACTTAGGCATTAGAGAAGAACTAAAACCTCAGACTAAGAATAGGCGTACATATTTACCTCCAGCCTGTCATACGTTATCAAAGAAAGAGAAGGTTGCTTTTTGTGAATTCTTAAGGGGAGTTAAAGTTCCAGAGGGTTACTTCAAATATTAGTAGTCTTGTGTCTATGAAAGACTTAAAACTAATAGGTTTAAAGTCTCATGATTGTCATATTCTACTAGAGCATATCTTGCCAGTTGCTTTGAGGTCTATTTTACCAGAACGTGTTCGACGAGCCATCACAAGACCTTGCTTTTTTTTTGCTGAAATATGTCGCAAAGTTATCGACCCTAAAAAACTAACCAATTTGCAAAAAGAACTTGTTGTCACTTTGTGTGAGCTTGAGATGTTTTTGGAACCATCTTTTTTTGATATTATGGTTCATCTAACTGTTCATTTAGTTAGAGAAACACAATTGTGTGGGCCGGCATATTTGAGATGGATGTACCCAATTGAGCGCTTTATGAAGATCTTAAAAGGGTATGTGATGAATCGAAGTCGTCCAGAAGGTTGCATGGTTCAACGATCCCTAGCTGAAGAAGCTGTTGATTTTTGTAGTGAATATCTCTTTAATGTTGACCCAATTGGTCTACCAAAGTCGCGAAGCATCACATCAACGGGTAAGGGAATTGTGGGAAATGTAGTGATATCCATATCTCGTGATGAATGGCGTCAAGCACACCTTTATGTTCTTCACAACAGCTCTGAAGTTGAGCCTTATGTAGATGAACACATGGCTTTCTTAAGGGACTTGAATCCTACTAGAAACCAAGCATGGTTAGCTTCTGAACACAATCAAACTTTTGTTAATTGGCTACAAACAAAGGTTGCTGAAGACTTGAACAGGAGACCAGATTCTGTTTCTGAAAGACTGAAAGCTTTGTTTCGAGGTCCCCGTATGGAAGTCATATCTTATTCTGCATATCAGATAAACGGATTTACTTTCTATATAAAGGAATGAGATAATCAAAGTACTATGCAAAACAGTGGTGTGGCTCTTGAGGCTGAGGCTATGCATATTTCTAGTGCAAAAGACAAAAATCCTATTTTTGCTAGCACGTCATATTATGGGTTTATTGTGAGCATGTGGGAGTTAGATTACAATATGTTTAGGTTACCCGTCTTCAAATGTATGTGGGTTGAGAATAAAGGCATCCAAATTGATAATATGAAGTTCACCCGAGTTGATTTCCGAAGGGCTAGCTATACTAAGGAGCCATTTATATTAGCATCTCAAGCAAGACAAATTTTCTTTGTTACTGACCCAAAGGATAAGAATTGGAGCATTGTCTTATCAACAAATAGAAAAAATGCTAGTGTTGACCAAGTTGAAGATGATATGGGAAATGAATTTGAAGAGCACCCATTCCCTGAATCATTACAATCATTTGATGATGATACTAACGAAGATGATTTGTATAAGCGAGCTGATCATTCTGAAGGGATATGGATTAGACCTAGTAAGAGACGTCGAGGTGGGCTATTAAAGAAGAATTGGATGCAACCCCTTCGAAAGAAGCGCAAGATCTAAAATGATGGAAGAGACAACGAGTAGTTGGAAACTTTAATTTTTTGCTAGATTTTTTCAATAGTACAATGAGACATTAGAGTTTTAGTTACATTTTCACATTTGTGAAACTGATGAATTAACTAATGTTATGGATTTAAAATTTAGTGTGATACTATTTTTTTATTTCCATATATTTGCTTCCTTTATGGACACCAGTAACCTATTCTGTATTTTTTTTAATACCTATTATCATCAGGTTTCTCCTTTCTGAATTTACTAGTGTGTGTGTGTGTTTTAATCTGTAGTGCCTTTATGGTCTTTTAGTTTAGGTATATTTAGTTTTTGTTACAACTGATGAATTATACAGCTTTGCCAAGTATATGTTTATAATCTTTAATTTTCTCAGCAATGTATTATCATTGTATGTATCCACCTATTAGTAGCTACTACTAAATGTTACAGTATTCTGTTGCATTATTCGTAGTCTCCTCTCACTGCTATTTTTCCACTTAAATTTTATAGGTAATGAGATCCAGTCAGCAGGATGCTGATGGTACAAATGCTTCTTTTAAAAGAAATAGACCAACAACAACTAAGCGAGGTGCAACACGCATGAAGAAGGTTGTTCGAGCCAGGAATAGAAAAATGGTTTTTCCAGTACAGTGGAACTCAAAAGGCCAACCTATTGGAAATAATAGTGTGATCATGTCAAGTTATTTGGGAGCCACAACACGAAGCACAATTCCTATCAATTATGAAGATTGGGATCGAGTTCCTTATGCTTTGAAAAATGCAATTTGGGAAGATGTCTCGGTAATAATGTTCTCTTATATTATGATTTTGCATTATAAATCAGTTCTTTACTTTTTATTTAAATTAGTTTGATTTAGTGATATTTGTTTTTTTTTTCTTTTATGATTGAAAACATTTAACATTCCAGAACAAAAGAAAAAATGGATCATTTCTAAAGCAGCAGACAAGATGAGGTATTTTAGGTGCTTTTTAACAAGAAATTGGATCTACGATAACCATGGGAATGTACGTGATGAGCCACCTAGATTATAATTATTATTATTAGCATATACATCCTATAGACTGCACTTACTTATCAGAATCATATTGGACAGAAAACTAGCGAGGATAATCGACAAAGAGCAAAGAAAAACAAATATCCTCAAAAGCGTTCCCATAGAGGATGTGCTCGCTTAGAGCAGGATATGGTAAGTTGTAAACCCAAAGTGTTTTTTAAATCTCTATTTCCACCAGAAGATCATTTCCTTTGCATTAGTTTCACCTTTGTCTTTTCAGTGTTGAGATTTTAGCTATAAATCATGCCTTCTCTTTATAGCTAGCATATTTGCCTATTCTAGAGTGAGTAATTTAGTGTAGGATGGTTAGTCATGGAGATTTTCAAGCTATATTGTATAATACATTTCATGCACTCTAGTTTTGCTCAAATGTAATACCGTGAAATGGAGATCATCAATTTTTTCATGCAGTTAGCTGAGTTGGCTTCTACTGATAATCCAATGACTTCTATACCACGAGCATCTATGTGGAAGGCTATACGAAGTGATAAGAGAACTGGGAAAGTTTATGAGAAAGCTCAAGAAGTTGCGGAGAAAATTGTGAGTGTTTTCACGCCTCTTTTAATTATTTACTATTAAAACCCAAATTTTGTTCCTCCTACAACTAGCCTAAGAAACTATGCTGAACTCTTGAAATACAGTAATGTCTTATATACACAAGAAATTTTACATGTTTTATATTTTTCTATTTATGTTGTTTTTAATCGATTGTTATGTAGGATATGCTAGAAAACCTTGCTGCTAATGGCGAGTTTCCAGATTCCGGGCGCGAGGATGTGCTCTTCAAGGCTTTAGGAAATAAGGCAGAGCATGGAGGTCGTGTAAGGGGTGTTGGTTCTGGTGTTAATATCACAGATTATTTTGGAAGCTTAAAAAATCCTAAAGAGTCACAAGATGAGGTAAAGGATTTAAAATCAATGGTGATGGCTATGTCAAACGAGTTAAGGGAGTTGAGATCGTTAGTAAATTCGGGAACTCAGTCCAAGAAGACAACTATTTGTGATACTATCATTGCCGAAGAGAATGAGGAGGAGCTCACTCCAAGTTGCAATAGTCCTATCGAATTTCCAGAGGTATATTGTGAACTCATCTATATACTGATAAACATACAGGATAATATAGTATGCTGAAATTTGTGTATTGAATCCCCCTTTTCCTTTAATAGATTATAAAGATTATTTGTCATGTGTCTGATTACATTGAAATCGAAATCTCTGATGATATAGGGCTTGACTGCGTGTGAACTAGCACTCTCAGAGCCAAGTTATCGCATTGTGGCTACAGGCAAGGTGCATAACATCCCAAATGTTGCACGTGTTGTACATGGTGTACCACTATTGTCCAACCAAGTTAGAGTGTCGATTGAGTACATTTATGAGAAACAAGCTCTGCTGCCGGTACCTCTTAAAGATGAAGCTTATACTCTAAATGAAGCTCTAGGCACACATGTTGCTTGGCCTTGCCATTTAGTAATTATTGCCGGAAAGGTTTATCAATCATGTAACCCATCTATGTACCAACTTTGCATAATATAAACTATAAAAACTATCTAATTTATTTTGATACAAACTTGTAAAATGCAGATCCCAACACAGCCTACATCAAAAGCAAAACAAACTAATTGCACCAAGGGTTCAAAAAACGATGTACACTGATTCACATTATTTTATTTTACACATTCTTAATTTTATAAAAATATACTATCAGATGAGCATAGGAATGGTTAAACTATTAACCTATTACTGAAATTGTATGTATATATTCTTACAGAACCAAGTTACTGCCTTTCCAAGCTTGCAGACTACATCAAATGCATTAAAGACAAGATCATTTCCTGGGCAAACCAATGCAAAGGTTAGTTATCTTTGATGTTATTCAATTACTATATAAACACACACTTTGCTTAGTCATTTGCCTTCAGCTTGGATAATGTACAATTTTCATGACATTGTCTAAGATGAGTGTTTTTGTTAACATATTTAATTGTTGGGGAGAATGATATAGATTCCAATAACACCAAAAGTCAAAGAAAAAGAAGTTGATCAATCTTGGCAAGCAAAAAAACCTGAAGAGCAGACAACATCAAAGACTAAGCTTTCAACAGTTGACATGGAAGTGGTTATTAATGTTGATGCCCTACCTCATGAATTAAGATTGACATATATGTATGCTAAAAGAATGAAAAAAGACGAGCAGATAATGATTCCTATGGAAGAAGCAATAGTGAATCAATCTCAACAAATTTATATGGGCAAGGAGGAGATTTTTCAATTAATTGCCCAAGAAGAAATAGGTGCTTGCCACATGTCTGCATATATCATGTAAATTACCGTGATCTTTCTTTTCTTCCTTTTTTAATTTTTTATATTATTGCCTCTACCAACTGTTATATTTTTTAAAAAAATATTGCCTTTTTTCATTTTGTTAGACTGTTACAAAATAGTAATTTATAAATCATTAAATGAAGGAAAAATAAGGTGATATGAGATGATAATGATCATCGGACTTAAATTGTTTTTTTTTATTTAAAAAAAAATTTGAAATCAAAGCTTTAGATATGTTTAATTTATTAATAATATTATGTGTAATAATGTGTTTAGGTATTTAAACTAAATCCTTTTTTTTTGTATCAGGTTAATGTATCGCAATTGTCAAGCAACGGGGAAGAGCAAATTTGGGTTTTTATGTCCGTCCTCAATATCTTTAGTGGTGCAAAGTAGACATGAAGAAAAGATTCAGGAGAACCGTGTAGAACGAGCACGTTATATTGTTAATGCACTTCAGGGGACTACAAGGAAAGAAAAAGTTTATTTGGCACCATACAATGCTGGGTTAGTGCAATCTTATATATATTGCATGTCCATTTTTAAATTAATGCATATATTGGTTACTATATATGACTTACAATCATGAACTCAATGTGTAGGCGCCATTGGATATTATGTGTGATTGATCCGGAAGCTGATGTTGTCTATTATTTGGACCCCTTACGAAAGGAAAATTGTCCTATTGGAGATGATTTACGTAGCGTTGTAGAGACGTAAGCTTGATTATTAAAATACTATTAAGATTTTTTTATCCATACATTTGACAATATTTATATTTTACTTTTCTTAAGTTTGAAAAATATTTAACCATTTGATAGGGCATTACTTATATATCAAAATCAAGTTGTAGGAAGTAAGAAGGTGAAGAAAAGTACAACTTGGTCCAAAATTCAGGTACTTATTTGCATATCGCTTTCATGTCGATAAACTTGTAATATCTAGCTTTTAGATTGCATTTTTTTGTGTTTGTTTAAGATTATGTGATATCTATAATTAAAAATTTAATAAAAAAAAAGGAAACAAATGATGAATCTAAATTTTATTTAGAAAAGATAGTCATTAGTGCCTAAATGCCTTACTCCGTAGGATACTAATTAATCTAACCCAAATTTCTTATAGCTAGCTTGTCTTTTATAAGTAAGTTGGAATCATTGTTATGTCTTTCCGCTCTATTTATTTTACTTATTTTTATGTAGTGTCCTCGTCAGAATAATGGTGTAGATTGTGGTTACTATGTCCTAAGGTTCATGCGAGATATCATTGCTCATAACCAACCACAAATTCCGGAAATGGTAAATTTATTGTAATGTTTTGTTTGTATTAAAAATTAACTATTGCTTTGATTATTGATTAGAATTTTTTTCAATATGTGCAGTACTTTTCAGATTGTTTATGGCCCAACTATAGCACAGAGCAAATTGATGAAGTGAAAACTGAGTTGGCACGCCACATTCTCTACTTTGCTAGTTGATTTAGGAAGTTAAAACTAATTGGTGGACAAATCATTATGTTTAGATTTCTTATTAGTTTAATGTTTCTCAAATCGTTAAAGTTAATATTATGAATGCTTCGTATTTTATTTTTCTATTACAATGGACACCGTGAAACTTATTAGTTTTTTATTTTATATATATACAATCCATTTGGTTGTGTAAATTTAGTTGTGTTTGTATAGATAGTCAAATAATTAAGTTCTTAGTTAATTAACAGCAACAATTCAAGATTTTTACTTTAACAACAAACAAACTATTCACATCAACAACGGTTAGAATATCAATATTGACAGTGGTTAAATGGGTAGTCTAATGTTGTTAACACCATACATTTAACAACGGTTAGAGTAATCGTTGTTACATGATACCACCCTCTACAACAACGATTTCATCTACAACGGTTGTTGACCGTTATCTATTGCTATTTTGAACCGTTGTTAATTAGCAATATTGTGGTAGTGCACTATAATAGGGTTACTAATTATATAACAGGGATAGTGATTACTTTTCTAATTTAGAAGGTTTACTTATTTTGTGATATGAGTTATTGTTTTTTAGGGGCTTCACACTGTAATAGGGTTACTTATTGCATTATAGGGGTTACCATTAAAGTGTAACAGGGTTACTTATTGTGCAATAGGAATTACTTATTGCGCAATAGGGATTACTAATTGTTTAACAGGGTTTACTTGTTGCATTATAGTGATTACTTTTCCACTGTGATAGGGTTACTTATTATATAGCATGGATTATTTTTTGCATTATAGTGATTAAATTTCTAATTTAGAAGGGTTACTTATTGAGTGATATGAGTTACTTGTTGCATTATAGGGTTTACTTTCATACTGTAATAAGGTTACTTATTGCATTATAGGGTTTACCTATTGTATTATAGGGGTTACCTTCACATTGTAATACCTCTCTACTTTAAAAGGGTTACTTATTGTTTTTTAGGGGCTTTACACTGTTATAGGGTTACTTATTGCATTATAGTGGTTACCCTTGAAGTGAAACCGGGTTACTTATAGTGTATTAGGAATTACTTATTGCGCAATAGGGATTACTAAATGTTTAACAGGGTTTACTTATTTCATTATAGGGGTTACCCTTAAAGTGTAATAGGGATTACTTATTGCGCAATAGGGATTATTAATTGTTTAACAGGGTTTACTTATTCCGTAATAGTGATTACTTTTCTACTGTGATAGGGTTACTTATTATATAGCAGGTTACTTATTATATACAGTAATAGTGTTACTTATTGCGTAATATTGGTTACTTACTGTATAATAAGGATTACCAGTATAACATTTTAGGGATAACCATTAATAAAATTTGAGTAAGTTTTATTTATTACCTTGCACACCTTGTATTTCATCATTTTCTGGATTTTTTTCGATCTCTTCAATCTCCAGATTCAAAAATGAATCACCTATTTCTTCGATTTCCATTGATTCTTGTGATTCTGCTAAGTTTTGTAATTCGTCAGTCATTGTAGTTGGTAATTTTTTTTCGCGATTATGAGAAGAATTTGGTGAAATCGAGAAGTTAAAGTTGCGGCTCTAGGGATTTGTGTGAATGACGACGCTTTTAAGAAGAAATGACGCGCGCGTGGAGATCAGCGTGTTTTTTGGATTCCGTTATTTTTGGCAATTTGATGACGCGCGCGTGGAAGCTCCGTTATTTTGCTGAGCTGGACGCTGGCCACACGGTGTGGCCAGCTGCACAGAAGAGGCGCTGTATATTAAAATGTACAGTATAAATGTATAATAGCATATACCAAATATAAAGCATTGAGAAAACTTCATGTTTCTCCCTTTGCCCTTTCTTTGGACTTTTCAAGTTTTCATGATGTTTAAGAACTAATTATTATTGTGTCATTTTCTCCTAGTATTTATCATCTAAAAAAAAAATTTAAGTTCATTGAAAAGGATTTTTAAAGATCCACCAATAATATTTTACATTGTAAATTATAATCTCAACAAATGGTAGACTTCATTAAGCTTTGACTTTAAAAAAATGAACCAATAGATATGATTTGGTTTGATTTACTACATAATTCTTTTCAAGATATAATACTCCCAATTGAGCAATGATGTACGTGTACACAAAAAGATGATGAAAGAAAGATGACATAATCATAATGACCTCAGCAACAATGATGTAAGCAAGGATAATACCGTCAAATATTTAAATAATTGATTACGCATTACACATTTACACGTATACTAATTAAATTTGTTGTGTAGGTGTGAACAAGTTTCCATCCATGGTTTGCCGCAAATCATTACTCCTCAAAACTAGAGGTTCATATCTCATGCATGCTCCACGTGTTGTTTATCACCTAATTTTAGCTGGTTGGTGGCAAAACATGATAATTTGATATTGACCAATACGTCTCATAATATAGTGTCAATTTAGTATTTACTAGGGTTAAGCAAAAATTCGGAATATCCGAAATTGGAATTGGAATCGGTTAGGAATTGGTGGGTCCAAAATTGGAATTGGAACCGATGGTTTCAATTTTGGGTAATAATTTAAGGACTCGGTTACAATCGGTTCCAATTTCAATTCTTAATTTTTTGGAATCGGAACCAGTTGGATACCCGATTATCCAACACATATCGAACTAAATATATTTTAAAAAAAAAATATTAAATGTAACTAATTAGGGCCTATTCACGTTTACTTAATTTCAGTTCAGCTCCTAATTTGCCTCTCTAATAAAATATTCATTATAGCTCAGTTCAGTTCAACTTCAATCAATTCAGTTCAGTTCATTTCAGCTCAATTCAGTAAATGTGAACATGCCTTTAGTAAAATAAAAAATAAATAATATTAATATTTAACATAAATAAAATAGCTTAATGCATATAAAAAATATAAGTATTAAATGCTAAAAGTGATAATAAACCAAAAATTACTCCCTCCGTGTTTTTTTTAAGTGTTACACTTCCCATTTTCGACCTGTTTTTTTTAAGTGTTACACTTCCTTACCTCTTATTTTATTTAAGCCAATTTTTAAATACTCCAACTACCCCACTTACCTCTTATTTTATTTAAGTCAATTAAATTGCCTAAAACTATGTGTCGGTCAACCTGTAACACTTAAAAAAACACGGAGGGAGTATGATTTGTCGTATATATTAACACCTATGTATGTAAGTAGGTATCCGAAACCGGAACCGGTACCCGGTGGAACCAATTCCAATTCCTAAATTTTAGGACCCGGTTATACCGGTTCCAATTCCGATTCCAAATTTTAGGACCCGGTCCCAACCAATTTCGGGTTCGGATCCTAAAATTTTCACCGGGTCCCCGATTTGCTCACCCCTAATATTTACTACCATTGTGTGCAATTACAAAACTAAATTAACTATCATAACCACATATGTACGTATTTTAATACTTGGAGTAGTTCATTTCATAATAATTGACACGTTTAAATTTGATATTTAGGTTATTTCCCACTTTATGCTCATCAATTCTACCTTTTTCAGATGCTCATCAATTCTACCTTTTTCAGATGCAACGTCCTCATTTTAACCTTATTGTAAAATAAATAGACACTATATTATAAGATAGAGAAAATTATGTGTAAATAACTTAAAAAACAGCGGTAGTTTAATTGAAGTTGAATTTAAATTATTTCTTTTGCGGCGCATCCGTACAAAAGTAACATGTAGCCCAATACCAATAAAAAATTAAAGAGGCTTTAAAATTGACTACTACTTGTATAATTGAATATTTTCATTTTCTAATTATGCAATCCTAGGTGCGTCATCAGTTTGCTCACTAATCTTACGCACGTCCTTCAATTTTTTTAGACACGTCCTTCAATTATTCTCCCGTATATATAACACTACATTCTCTTCATAAACACATATCATTTTCATTCATATAAATCAAACTCAAAAATAGAGAGAAATCATATATAATTCCCAAAATAAAAAAATGATTGAGCTAAATGAAAATAAAATTTCAAAGCCTCATGTAGTTGTGGTACCATACCCTAGCCAAGGTCACATTAACCCACTTCTTCAATTTGCTAAACGTTTAGCCTCTAAAGGAGTCAAAGCCACATTAGCCACCACCAAACAAACCATGGGCTCTATATCTTCCCTCCGAGATGTAGCTGTCGAGGCGATATCGGACGGGTTTGATGATCAAGGCCCTCCTAAAGTTGGGTCCGAGGACGTTTTTCTCAACTCATTTAAATCAAATGGTTCGAGTTCTCTTGCTCGTATTATTGAATCCTATCAAAACACGACGTTTCCTGTGACGTGTGTGGTGTACGACGCTTTTTTACCGTGGGCATTGGATGTGGCCAAGGATTATGGCTTACTTGGAGCCGCGTTTTTTACTAACGCGGCTGCAGTTTGCGCCATTTTTTGTTGTGTGGGGGAATGGCTTAATTGAGCTGCCTCTTAGGCCGGTCGAGGTCGGGTGTGCTTTACCTAAAATGCCCTTGTTTAAGGGTAATGATTTGCCTACATTTTTAAGGAAGCCTGAAAGTTACCCGGCTTACTTGGCTATGAAGTTGAGACAATTCTCAAATGTTGACTTGGCTGATTGGATTTTTTGCAATTCTTTCGAAGATTTGGAGCTAGAGGTAAATTTTTTTTTATCTATTTTAAATACTTATTCAACGCTTTAGGATCTTTGTTAGCAAAATCTTTAAAATTAATGGAGAAGATATTTCCCAAATTTCACTTAATCATAAAAGAAATTATATATATATAGTGTTTAGAGAGCCGCATGGACAGGGGTGAGAATCGATCCCAAGATCTCCTGAAATCAAGAGGGAAGCTCTAACCACTTGAGTTATCCCCCACTCTCTAATATATATGTTAAAATAGTACAGAATTTCAAACGTTGTGATTAACTAAGGAAGTATAGATAAAGTATGTAAAATGTTTGAATTTGTGGCAAAAATTGAAAAATGGTTGCTTTCTACTTTTAAAAAATTCTTGTATAGAAGACATGAAGTACTAAATAAAATATTCAAATCCTCAAAAAAAAAAAAAAAAGATTCAGCCGGCCGTTTAATATTATTAGTGTAGAAATTAAAAGGTACTATCTAGTTGACATGTTTTGACTTTAGCATTATTCACACACTTGTATTTGAGTGTGTTTTGTGATTTATTCGTAATGAAATATATAGTCATGTGAAATCTTGTTAGATTCGTAACGATATACAGTTAGTATCAACTTTTTATAATTTTTTATCGGTAATTAAATATACTAATGGTTAAAATTGTACATTGACAAACAAAACTAAAGAAATGTGTCAATTAAAAAGAAATAGAAAAAGTATTTGATACGGAGTATATCAAATCTATCTATACTATATACTAAAGTAATCACCGGATGGACACTTGACATGATTTTATGAAAAAAAAAGTGTTACATAAGTTATTTAATTTCAATTAACTCTATTTCAATTGATTATTATTATATCATACTTTATAAATCCTTGCATTACACGGGAACAAAACTAGTGATTGATAATTAAAAGTCGTGGTCTATTAATATTAATGTGGCAATAAAAAAATACGTACTCAATAGTACTTCCTCCGTCCCAAAAAGAACGATCCATTTGGGTTGATTACGCGGGTATTAAGGAAGTTAAGTAAAGAGAAATAAAAGTATATTGGAAAGATAAATTTACATGGGGTTTGTAAAAAAATAGAGAGAGAAAGTAATAATATAACATGGAAAATGAAATTTTTATATGGGGAAGTTAATTTTGCACAAATATTGTTGCAAATTGGTGGTGTTTTAATGCAAATGAGTCATTCTTTTTGGGACAAAGTTTTGGTCAAATGGGTCGTTCTTTTTGGACGGAGGGAGTAGAATTTTAGGTATAAAATAATAAATCATAATTAAAAATCGTGTACCTGCTAAAATGAGTTATTAACTTATTAGCCCAACTTGTTAGGTTTGTCATACTTTTGCCGACATTATATTTTGAGATTAAAATAATCATCGTGTTTAGCCCCCTTAATATGACGCCAAAATAAGTTCAACGTTGTACATCTTTCTATTTCACATTTTCACAGTTTGACAAAAAAATCATTGACTAAAATTTTATATCGACATGATTGATTGCAAATAATTTATTATTGCAATCATCAACATGAAAAAATGGAGTAATGTTCAAGATAAAATTAGGAACATTAGGATTAATATTACATGTACAATATATTTCTATCATAAATTGATTATATCTCGTATCTCTAACACTATATTGCAGATTACTGAAGGCATATTTGAGAAATGGCCTGCGAAATTAATTGGACCGATGGTTCCATCATCCTACTTAGATGGAAGAATAGAAGGAGACATTGGATACGGAGCGAGTTTGTGGAAACCCTTAAGCGAGAAGTGCAAAGAATGGCTACAAAATAAGCCAAAAAAATCAGTAATTTACATCTCATTTGGTAGCATGGTTTCACTAACACAAGAACAAATGGAGGAAATTGCATGGGCCTTAAAACAATCCAACTATTACTTCCTTTGGGTAGTTAGGGATTCCCAAGCTAGTAAACTCCCTAAAGAATTCCTAGAGGATGTTGAAATAACACAAAAAGGAATGGTTGTTACGTGGTGCAACCAACTCGAGGTATTGGCACATGAAGCAACTGCGTGTTTTGTGACACATTGTGGATGGAACTCGACACTGGAGGGACTTAGCCTTGGGGTCCCGATGGTGGGAGTCCCTCAATGGAGTGATCAATTGCCTGACGCGAAGTTTATTGAGGAGGTTTGGGGGGTGGGAGTGTGGGCAAAGGAGGATGATAAGGGAGTGGTAAGAAAGGAACATCTTAGTGAATGTTTGAAGGAAGTAATGGAAGGAGAAAGGAGTGAAGAAATAAGGGAAAATGCTTTGAAATGGAAGGAGTTGTCTAAGAAAGCAGTTAGTGATGGTGGGAGCTCAGATAATCATGTTGAAGATTTTGTTGAACATTTGAAATGTACTAGTTTTAGTACCAAAAAACCAAATGGTAGCTTAGTTAGCTAAGACTAAGGTCGATCTTTTTAAGTAATGAGTTAGTTTTTGGAGATTAATATCTGTATTTTATGATTTAAGTGTGAAATAAAGTCTGCATGATAAATTCTTTGGTGATTTATGATTCATTAGAAACACTTTGATTGGTGTATGAAATTAATGCACTAAGAGAGTGTGTAAAGATGGGGGCAACAAGGGGTATTCCCTGTTTCTCTTCTTGATAAACATAGAATGTATCTCATAGGGTTAAATTTGTCTTTTTAACTAATAAAACTAGGATAAAAATGTAATTTACTATTTTTTTTCTTTTGCACAATTTAGTGTACTTTCTGGTTGTATACAATTGAAGCACCTTCTCTCCTCCATTGAAGGACCTTTCACTCCACCATTGAAGCAGCTTTTGAGGTTAAATTAAAAAACGAAACACACCTGCAATCTAGGGTTAACAATGCCATTTATTTCTCCACTTTTTCTTAGGGTTTTCGTAGAATTAGGCGGCTTCGCCGTCAAAAACCGCCAGAAAAGTGGGTTGGGGTTGGTCTAGCCGTGGTGTTGGGTTGTTGTCTAATATCTTGGTAAAGATTTCACCATTGTCACGTTGAGAAGCTATGGGAAGCTAGAAGAAGGAGGTAGGCAAAAGAAGGGAAGGAGAGAGAGGGGTGATTCAGTACCTAAAAAAATATATATTGATAAAGTTGCTTTTATTACATTTTTTTGCCAAATGTTTCTCAAGAAGAGAAACTGGGGCTCCCCCGGTAACAAGTGGAGAAATGAATGACTACTTCTCACTCAAAAATGTGAGTCATAAGTTGCGATGGGATCCCATAATAAAATACGAAATACTCCCTCCGTTTTTAAATACTTGCTCCACTTTCTTTTTTTGGTTGTTTTTAAATACTTGCTCTATTTCCTTATTTAGAAAGCTTTTATCATATTTAATTCATTTCTCTCACCTAATGGATCCATCATAAATCATATTTCATTAATTTCATATTCTCTCCTCCAACCCTCTCCTCTACTTATGCTTTTTACAATATTTTATTCTTCTACCTATCCCACTACCCCCCATATTTTATTACTTTCTTCAATTTCTCCTAAAACTCCGCGCATGGAGAAATGAAGCAAGTATTTAAAAATGGAGGGAGTAATGTAAGTGGGTAGTTTGTTGTCGGCCAACTGAGGGTAGAAGTGTATAACGCATATTATAGCTAATATAATGCCCCCATCTTAAAAAAATATTTTACCTTTAAAACAAGTTCTAATAAGATACAATTAATTCAGATGATTAAAAATTAAACGAATAGACGTATTCTAAGATTCTAGCCGTTAACAAAACCTGTTTGCACAACCTGCGCCAAAATTGGCTAAATGGCCAACACTTTTCTCAAGGCTGGTATGTTGGATCAGAATCATCAGTTAGATCTTGTTATAGGGACAATAGTTTCAACAGCCAAATCATCCCAACCCTACAGGGGAGTAATTGACTTGCTAGCCATTGAAGTTGCTATCAAGTACCTACATTACATATGAACAAAAACACTCGCATCCAAACACTCGCAAACGCCAATGGTGTTGCTCGATTGCCAACGTAGCACCAGCTTATCAACCAGGTGAGAGTGAGGGATAGCTCAAGTGGTTAGAGCTTCTCTCCCGATTCTAGGAATCCTGGAATCGATTCTCACCCTCGCCCTTGCTATTCTCTATACACCAAAAAAAAAAAAAAAAAAAAAAAAGCTTATCAACCGGGTGACATTGTAAAAGCTCATCAACTTATGGGGCATTTGGTTCAAACAATGGTATAGGTTTGGAATGAGAAATGAAACCTGGGTGGTATTAGGTTGGAACTTGATACTTGATTTCATGTGTTTGGTTTTTATCTAGGAATGATAGTTTTCCTATTAATTTTAAACTAAAGATATGGGTATGAGTCATACCCACCTCCCCCCTTGGGTTTCAAAAACTCATAACTTAGGGGGCGTTGGTTCGCAAACTGGTATGAGGTTAGAATCAGGAATGAAACCATAGTGGTATGGGTTTGGAACTTCATTCTTAATACTAAATGTTTGGTATGCTTATAGAATGCAATTTTTTTCTTTTATTTGATAGCTAAAAGTATGAGAATGAGCCAAACTCACCTCCCTCCCAAGGTTTCTAAACCCCATACCTTGGGAGTTTAAGGTATGGGTTTGAAACTCTTAAAATCATAAAACAAACACAAGGTATGGGTTTAAACCATTCTAAACCCATACCTTATACCTTAATTATGTGAACCAAACGCCCCCTTAGAGGTTTGAGGTATGGGTTTGAAAAATGAAATTTTTAGAAACAAACACAAGGTATGGGTTTTGGTCATTCCAAACTCATACCTTATACCTAATATGCTTGAACCAAACACCCCCTTAGAGATTTTAAATTGACTCTGATCAATCTAGGAAGTTCTAGAGTGATCGTTTTTCCAACCCGGCCCCCCCTGGTCGATCCATGGGTCGCCCCCTAGTCATCCTTTGTCGATACCCTTTACAAACGTTCTTTCTCTTGCAAATCTAATAACTTTGCAAGGTCTTTACAGCTAAAAAAAGTTTAGCATTATTAATCAGTGCGTTGCTCAGTGCTAAAACATGCAATATTCCAAGTTATTGATATGCGGTATATGCCATACATTTCACCATATTTGTCCATATAAATGGGGCACCATCTTCAATGTGCTATGAAAAAAGTAAGACTGAAGAGAACTTGAGAATAATGTACTAATAAAAAAAGATATGAATAAGCTACTGCATTAGCGCTATGTAATTTAAAATCATCTACTGATTAATCAGGAGGTAATTATTAGCCGCTAAGTAGTAGCAAAATAATTTACCCACCACCACTTAACCTACTCCGAGATGCATGATGAATATCGAAGTGAAATCTGTTGTCAAGGCCTAATATTGGATTAAAGGGCGCTGAAAACACTCTTAACAGCATCAGATGCCTGCTTATGCTTTCACTAGATATACCAAGGGAAGCAAATGGAGTACATAGCTAAATAGCGATGCAAATGGACCATTGAAGTTGCTATAGACCTGCACAAGAACGTATATACGAACAAAACACCGTATACACATCCATCCGAACACTAGAAAATGCCTATAGTACGGCACTAGCCAATGTTGCAGAGCCAAGTACCATTCAAATTATGATGTGAAAGTTCATCATGCCAGATTTGAATTTGGCATTATCAAGCTGGGTAGTTATAGTATGATCATTGTCTAACCCGGTTCCCTTGAAAGATCTGTGGGTCACTGAGTTTGCTCCCTTGTGATCCTTTGTCTATGAATTTGGTAGGAAATAATGGAGCATCAATTCCCTCGTTATGAACGTTTGGCTGTTAAAAATGGCGTGAAAAATATCTGGCTTACCCAATTTCTCTGTAAAGTGCCTGTTAAACTTTATAAGGAGTCTATAGTTAGCAAAGTAAGCATTATTGGTCACTGACTCACAGCTATAACACATTCATGTCAAAGTTATGGACAGAACAACCCTTAATTACCCCCTTCGGATATGTGATATGACATGCATTCCATTTTCACCATATATCAATATGTGCATCTTCCTTAACTTTCGAAAAAGGTAGACTAAAGAGAAAAAGAAAACATTTACTATATTCCTTCGATAGTTCCATCCGCAAATACTAGTAATAGTTAATAGTCACATAATCACATATAAACAACAGGAAAAATCTGTCGTGTTTTAGTGTAATCATTGTGAATTATGACATTTTAATAAAATGGGGCAATTGGCTATTAAATTAGCATTATTGGTGTATGCTAAAAGAGGTTTTTTTTCCCCTTTTTTTTCACTTGCACAATTCATTTACAATAAGCTTTGAAGTCGTGGTTGAACTTAATTTTGCAAAAATGCAAAATATAAATGTGACGACAAATTACTGACCATAGACATCACCCGGTCGTGACATCTAAAATTCACATCACGCGCCTGGCATGCATCGGGATTTTAGTACCATTCTGAGTACTCCCAGATGCAGTGCATGCACCATATATCTTTGCTTGTACATGAAAACCCACAATCAAGATGATTTCAAGGTTAATATCAAAGTGAAAAAAATCTGTTGACAAAACCTTATGTCAGGTACAAAGGTTCATAGAAGCTGAAAACACTCTACAGCATCACATTCTTTCGAGTGGTTGGTTAAGTGTGAAGGAAAGCAGATGACAAAGGACTATAAATAAAGCTAAGTATATAGACAGATTAAAGGTTTGTTTTTCCCCTCAAAATACATAAATAAATCTACAGTCTCTGGAAGTCTGGAACCTCCTTTGTTGGTATAGGTAAAATTCTGGAGATAATATAGTTAACTAAGAGTAAAATTAAGCAGTGATCTTGCGTAGCACTGATGTCAGTCTGCAGTTTTGGAGGGAGCAAACTGCCATACTAGGCGAAAACCCCACATGGAACACCTGATCTAGGCTAGGCTGGCTAGCAATCGAGCATTCTAGCATGCCTAGGCTCTTTGGGAGTGGGAGTGGGTGAGGGTAAGGAATTTCCATCCCCAAAATGCCTCTAAATGGTGGAAAACCCCAACTTCAAAGTTAAAAGGTACAACCTTTATCAATACAAAAACTTTTATATGCGGCTGGCAACCGGGTTTACTTTGTTAGTGCTATAGGGGTTACTATGTTAGTGCTATAGGGGTTACTCACTCGGTCAAGGGTTACTTGAGGTTACTCGTCGATCAAGGGTCACTTGGTGTATGTCAGCTGGCCACACATTATGGCCAGCCGCACACAAAAGTTGTCATCAATAGGCCAAGCTTGGGTTGCAATCAATACTGTTGTTTGAGTTGTTGGTAAAGTTTTTTAATCAAAAAAAAAAAAAAAAAAAGCTGTTTTATGCTTTGCTGTCGGGCCTATTTAGATGAAAAAAAAAAGGAGATCCCAATCATGTAACATCTTTTTCATTGATATTATCAGAAAAGAAATTATGTACAGTGAGAATTGAATAAGTTACATTAAAAAGTCAGGTAAAATAATTTCACCTCTCTATTATGCCAAAATTTGATATCATGTTACAGGACTTCAGCAACAGGGGATGCATCCCTAGCCTTGTTCCGACCTGTTTCCAATGGAAACATAGAAGTTTCAGCTTAAACTGATTGAATAAGAAGCTAAAGCGTAATAAGATAGATTGATAGCATTGGTAAGTGATAAGTTGTAATGTTGTTGTTAACTGATTATGGGTATAGCAGTATACGCTATAGCTTGTCCAATTTGGCTTACTACACTCAAAATTGCAACCTATTTCCAATTTCAACCAGTTTATGACGCTATCGACAAGTTAAACATGGTAGGCCTCATTTTCCTTTTTCAATACTCTATCCTAAGCAAGATTATGATAACAACTGGGCAGCAGTGGTTTGTTAATAAAATCAAAATCTCTGCCTCAAGGCAAGAAAACCTCACCTCTCTTCTTAAGCTTATTCCGAAAGCCTCTTTTCCTGCTAAATGCCGTCTCCTGAAATAATAAGGAAAATAAAAAACAAACTCAGATGTATCTGAAAGAAACCTTAAATTTTAGGAATTATGCATGGGGCTTGCATGGAAATAATAACACCCACTACCCACTATTCCCAGACCCAAGGAAACAAGAACCCTTTCTTTCAAAATGCCGTATATAGTGGAATAAGGAAGCCACAAGACCTGACCCCTAACCTCCTACACAAAAGGCAACACTAAGTCACTGACATCACATTAGCAGATGCCTCACAAGTGTAAACATTTTTTTAGGCCCCATTCACTTCACCTTATTTTTGTTGAACTGAAATTATTTTTATTGAACTGAAATTATTTTTGCTGAACTTAAATTATTTTTACTAAACTGAAATTAATTTTGCTGAACTGAAATTATTTTTGCTGAACTGAAATTGTTTTTACTGAATTTCTATTATATTTCTTCTTTACATTTACTGATTTTTACTGAACTGAAATTATTTTTGTTGAACTAAACTTATTTTTACTGAACTGAAATTATTTTTACTAAATATTATTTTATTTTATTTTTTAAGTTGAAGTGAACAGGGCCTTAGTGTGTGTGTGTGTTGGGGAGGGGGGATGTTGGGGTTGAAGGCGGTCAACCTAGTGGTAAGGATATGTCCCACTAGAGAATTGAGGCCTGAAATAGAGAGCTATATTCAAGCCCACCTCAGCCCTAGGTTTGTCATCCCAAATGGTCACAATTGCTAAATCTGACCAGAAAATGAAGCCATCAAGGTCTGGTAGGTCATGTTGATGTAATGGATACACTCCACAGTCCACACAGCCAGGCTTGTATTTTTCAAACATCCACGTGGAAAACCTCCTTTTTTTTCCCCTTCTTTTAAAGGTCACAAGAGGGGTTTGTAATATTAGCATAATATATATGGTTTGAGGAATACCACTGGCTTTCCAAGCTCTTCTGCTTCTCGGACTGCAGCTACAAGATCACAATTCTGTTCACTATATAAGCTTGTCACAAGACCATGTTGACCTGCTCTGGCTGTACGACCAACTCTATGCAGGAAATCCACAGCAGAAGAAGCGAATTCCGCCTGGAACAAAAATACAAATCAATTTTGATAGAAAGAGAGACAGAGAAGGAGAAGGCACTCAAAAAGAATATATCTGCATTATATTGGCATACTAAGCTACCAGCACTGGACAGCTTTTGAAAGGCAACCCAAGAATTGAGATGTGCTGAAAACAATAAACAGAGAGGTAAAACAATCAGAATTTGTAATCTTGTTTTTTGCAAAGATAGTATTCTAACTTTACTTGCAAGGATTTGATGGACAGAACATGGGTCTGAGTGAAATCAGACAGGGGGTCTCACAGAGGATTTTTGACGTTCTCAGTCACTGAAGTATCCAAGTTATATTGTCCAAAGGTCACACCTCATACAATGGGATAGTGTATGGATCTAAGTGGAATCAGACATGGGTCTTAAAGAGGAAATTTGACGTAATTAATCACTATGGTATCTGTTATATCGACCAAGGGTCATGTGCTCATACCTCATAATGGAACAAAAAGTTTGAATAGCATAGTTTTGAAAGGTTCAATAAAGACTATTTGATGTAGGATTGTTCTGTATGAACTGGTGTTTCAAACCATTTAATTAAAGGGTACAAAATTTTCTAATACATTTGTTAATGAAGGACCCAAATGCAGAATTTGATGGAAGTCAAATGGATGCGTACCTTTAGTCCCTTATGTTTGGAGGTTTAAGCAAATGTTCTTATTCAGCTAACGGGAATCACATTTCCATGCCAACTCAAAATATGCGTATTGGAGCTGGTATGGAAATGTGTTATCACAAGACTATCAAAATTGAGGTCTAGGCAAAAGATAATCTGATTTCTAGAGCATGACCTCAATGAATCAATGCTATATCAGATCATTAACTTCAAGAGATTTTGAACTGAGCACCAAAGTTGGAAGTTCTACACCAGGAACCTCATTTTTAACTTATCAATCTATCACTTTCCACTACTATAAAACTTTGAAAGGGAAACCTCCAGATCAATTCAATCTTAGCTACAATTCCACGAATATCAATAACTTGAAAGAAACAGCATCAGCGTATCATCAAAACAGAAAACGAAAAATTTTCCACCCTTGTTAAATACTAGTATGAATTACTTCTACATAGCAAACAACAAATACAAAGGTACTAGTTAAACAGGTATTTTTGTGGGCTTATTTGGAGAGGAAGAACACAGAGAAATCCCGTATTTTATATTGCTACTTATTTAAGATGGATTTTCAGCACAAAACATCAGAGATGCACACTTCCTTCTTTATAGTAAGTCCAAAATCATTCAAGTATGATAACAATTTATCTAGAATTTGATAAAAACTAAGTGATAACAATAGCAGCATGAAGTCAAAGTTAAGAGGGAAAATCAATTAAAAACAAAAAAAGATTTAAGGACAACAGTCACAGATTTGCCCTTACTATCAAGTGATGATGAAATTTTTCCTTTTTTTTTTTTTTTTTTTTTGGGGGGGGGGGGGGGTAGCAAATACCTGAATAACGTGTGATATCTTGGGGATGTCAAGACCACGAGCTGCGGCATCCGTACACACTAGCACACCACCCCTTTCTCTGAATTCAACTAAATTCTTTGTAGACTCTTCAAGGGAGCTGTTCCTATGGTAGCAGAAACATTGGATGCCAGCAGTCTGCAATATCTTAGCGACTGATTCTACTGCCTCAACAGTATTTGCAAACACCATTGTCCTATTTATAGCAGAATCAGAAGCCTGCGAACTGTAGTTGACACCTTGATTTACTGCATTTATAAGAGCATCAACTTGAGTATCGATAGAAACTTCTACCCACTTCTGCTCTAACCTGAAGCACCAAAAGGCAACCATATGATAAACTTTAACAAGTCCTAAAGAAAACATAGTCTACACTAGGCACTCTTAAATATTGACAAACGATCACATTCTAGAATTACACACAGGACATAATTGAACCAATCAAATAGGAAGAAGCATAAATAACAAGCAGAAAATGGAAATTAATAAGGAAATTAAGATGGAAACACACAATAGAGTCAATTGTACAGGTGTTACCTAGGGTTGTGGTAATGAAGATAATTTCCACTGACCCAGCTAACGCCTGGAAACATCCGTTTCAAGATTCCACCTGCTGTTTGCTTTCCATTTACTGGAAGAGTTGCCGCGACAAAGATATACTGCTTACTACGTTCATAATATTCACGACTTCTTCTCCAGCCCTTTCTCACACCAGAGACAGGTACCTCTTCTACCAAATCTACCGATGTACCATCCTCAACAATTTCTTCTTCCATGGAAATATCGATGTCCTTATCATCTTCATCTTCACAATCAAATGATAACTGGAGGTCGGAATTCAACTCTTTTGTTTCCTCGGATGCACTATTCTTTGATCGTGACAACAGCTTCTCATCAAAACGAAGCATGTTTATGAGACGAACAACTTGATTTTGGAAGCTACCACAAAGTAACAAATCAGCTTCATCAAACACCTGCCATTTAGTGCACCAAAAGTAAGAATGATATATTTAGTGCTTTTTATAGACTTTTGATAGGATAGAGTAAAGCTACCAGTTAACTTACCACATGTTTCACCCCACGCACAAAGTTAAACTGACGATTTCTTTCTCGATCAACATCATAGAGATAATTCAAAAGAGCAACAGGTGTAGAAACAATAATGTCCGGTTTCTTATGAGGCCATCCCTACAAGAGAAATTCTCACACGTGAGAGGTATCCCCAGAATAACCTTTTCCACAAACCAGGAAACCTTGCTTAATATTGCACCCCATTTTCTAAGATTAAGACAACCACAACAGTGTGAGCCTAAAATCACCAAGACACCAAAGGGATCTCTATTTATTAAGATTCTAGCAAAGTATAAAATTTTTCATAATCATCAGACAACCAAGATACTGAAGAAAACCACACACAAGTATACAAGAGTATTACCTGCTTCCCACACACTGCAGCTGCTCTGAGGAGGGGTTCACCATTGTCACCACAGAGAGAGTTGGCCATGCGAACCACTTGCTCACAAAGCATAACATTAGGGCAGAGAACAAGAGAAAGCTGCGAGAGATGATTTTTTCCAAGAACAGGAGCTCCTAGCCCAGGGTCACTGCGTGCATGAAGAAGCTTCTCAGCCAGTGGGACAAGATAACCATGTGTTTTACCACTTCCTGTCTCTGCAGCAACAACTGTGTCTTTTCCTGACAGTATGGATGGTATGCAAGCAGCCTGAATAACAATATAAATTCCGGTTAACATAGAATACATCATATAGTATTTGGCCGGTTCAACAACTGAAGACGAACTTTCCCTTTTTCACTTAACTCACATAAAGTGTCTCTACCCCGGAATAAGAATGACAATTAAATATATATGGATATAGTATGAGAGGAACTTTCAAACCCAATCTAATGATCTAGATTTTAACCAATTTAGCATGCTTATTAAAGAACAACATTGGTTTAACCTAAAGTGTCTTTATTTGTCAAGTGTATCGTAGGGCCCGTTTGGTTTAATGTAAAACATTTTCAATGGAAAATTAGTTTTCTTGGAAAACATATTTTCAAGGAAAAACACAATTGCAAATTAGTTTTCCTTTATTTGGTTGCATACAAGAAAAGTCCAAGAAAAATAAAAAAATAAGAGTGGAAATGTAAGGATGAATGAGAGGGAAGTAAAAAAAGAGGTAAGGAGGAGAGAGGAAAATGTGGCTTCCCTTGTTTTTGGAAGGAAAATGTTTTCTATCATTAAGGATGGAATTTTCCACCCTTGAAAAATTGTTTTCCACTCCTTAACAAACCAAACAAAGGAAAATGGGAAAAAAATGGAAAATTCATTTTCCATGAAAACCTTTTACATCAAACCAAACAGGGTCTTAGTGTAAACTACAATTACAGAATCACAGGGCTCCAACTAATGGCATTTAGCCATATAGGTAATAGGTTGTAAAATGTATTACCCCAACAATTGCAATTCGTTGCAAAACCTATAACTGGGCTAGATTGCAATTTGTGACTTCAAATTTTCAAAACAAATAGGGCAGAGGATAGCCAGAGAAAGTGAGAGACATCATATTTAGTCCATTCTAATGCAAAGCTTGATTTTTCTCAAAAGTGAGTACAATGAATTTAAAAGAACCCCACTCTATGATGTGTGTCTAAATAAAGTGGCAAAAAATTAATAGAAATTTTTTCAAGCCTGATAACATAACCATCGAATATTGCATTAACAAAAAAAACACATGATCTACTAGTTAATAACCATCGAATATTGCAAGAACTAAGATTAATATAGGGGCTTCCAGCTCGAGAAAGCTTGGACCCTCGCCCTATCTCATAATCAATAAGTGGTTGTCAACAATCACTCTTCATTCCTAAACTTTTATGGGGCATTTCCTCGTGATTCAGTTCTTACTAAAATTTTGTTGAAAACTCCATCACTTGAAAAACATAACCCGAAAATGCATTGATCGAAGAGGCTTCAACAAAATAATCAGTTAATTCACTATGCATATTTATCAACAGAGGTCCAATACTCAAAAATCTATCATTTATATTCTGCTAAGATTATAAACTTGTATAAACAAAGATTCAAACATGATATAATTCCCTCTCCTGTAGCACTTATAATGAAAAATTTAATGTTCTTGGTTTAAATGAGGTGTCCAAGTGTCCATACCCCATGTTAGAGTGTCGAGGATCCAACACGAGTACTTTTTAGATAAAACGAATAGCCCGAGTAACATAAATTCCATCACCAATTACCAAAAATCTTAAAATACACTAACAATTTTCAAACTACCCAAATTATCAAATGCGCAAATCAAAATTTAAATTAAAAAAAAAAAAACAGAGTAAAGCAGAAAAACCTGAATTAAAGAGGGTTTGGAAAAGCCAGCATTAGAGAGAGAATGAGAGAGCTTTTCAGAAACACCAAGAGAAGCCCACGAAACGGCGTCGTTAGCAAAGAAGGTTTCATCACTGCTACTGTTGCTGCCGCCATTGTTAACAGCTTCAGAAGCTGCAGTAGCAGTAGCAAAAGCTCTAATGGTGATTGTGGTGTGCTTTTGATGAAGAGGTCTCAAAGAAACAAGCTTAATGGAGGACAAAAATGGCGGTGGAGGAGAGAGAAAGAAGGGAGACAGAATTGAAGGTTGTCTGTAGAATTTGCAAACTTGTTGCATTTTTCTGGGGTTTTAATTTAATTAGGGTTTTGAATGAAATCTTTCATTCAGACTTCAGAGTTTGAGTGATTGATGATAAGAGGGTTTTAGGTTTGATGGGGTTGAATTGAGCAACTTGCTTAAACCCTCTTTGTAAATTTTGTGACCTTAGATGGATAAATTGAACAGCTTTCAGCATATGCTAAATTTTGGAAAACTTTGGCATCGTTTTTAATTTTCAATTTTCTGTTTTTTTTTTTTTTTAGGATTTTGTAATACATAGCTTTTAGGGTTATGTATAAAAAATAAAGAATTCATATCATAATTGTAAATTTAAGTTTTCAATGGAATCTAGATAAAAAATGGTCTTTGGCCTTGTTTGGCAAATGGTTGTTGGCGGTTGGCGGTTGGCTGGTTCACTTGGCTTGTTTGACCAGCTGAAATGTTTGGCTGTTTATAATGGCTTTTGAAATTGGTTGTTTAAGCTGACTATTTATAAAAGTGTTTGGTAAATTAATTGTTGGTTGTTGGCTGTTTATTAGATAATTTGTGAGCCAAAAGCCAACAAAAAAGCTACTCAAAGCAGCTTTTTCATTTTGGCTTAAAAGCCAGCTTTTTCGCTGACTAAAAAGCCAATTACCAAACACATTTTTTGGCTGTTTGACCATATAAAACAGCCAAAAGCTAACCAAAAAGCCATTAAAAAGCCAATTACCAAACATGGCCTTTAACTAAGCAATAAATATGATGAGTTGTTAACCAAAACAAACTCATTTGACTTCACTACTACAATTTAACCACTGTAAATCAAAACCCACGTTGAACATTTTCAATTTTTTTAAAAATTTTCCATTAACTCCAAAATAGAAAAAAAAAATTGAAGTACTCCATTATTGCTCCACTACTCCCATTTTCATTTTTTTTTTCAACCACCTGTCAAATATACTCAATAAACAATGTGAAAATATGGAATTTAGCTTTGAGTATTATCAAGTATTACCTAAAACTTCAAAGTGAATACAGGATTAATCCCAAATCGTGAGCTGCTTTTTTGAGTTTTTTTTTTTTGGGAAGCAGATGGAGCACCCTCTTCCATTCCATTGAAGCCAAATATATTCTCTTTGTGAGGACAAGTAGGCTTAGTGTGCCCGGGTTGTTTGCATATGGAACAAGATTTATTCTTCTTCCCCAATTCTTTTCCACCTTTCTCACGTCGTTTTTTTTTACGCCTTTTTGTCTTAGAGTTAGGGAGCAAATACACATTAATTTCATGTGTAATTTCATCATCCATCAAAATCAGATTCTCCTTCTGTCAAAATTTCATCTTCTCCTCCGTCAACACCACAAGTACCACCTTCAACAACGTTACTAGAATTCAAGACCCCTCCTTGACCAACAGTATTAGTTTGCAAGGCATTACGACGCCATTATAAAGGTAAGTAAAATGAGGGTATCTTAAAACAGTCTTTATGGAAGAAGACTCGAAGAATATGACGACAAAGAATACCCCAAAATTCAAAATTCAAAATTCTTGCAACTACAAGTTGTTACTCCATCCCAAAAAAACATTATGATTTTTTGGAGTTTCCCCTTCAAAATATCACACTATAAATGTATTACCTTGATCATGAATGATTGAACATTGACTCGCTCTAAGAAATTCATCTTGAAACTTTTTAAAAGCAAATGGTGCAAGAACTCCAAAAGCTTGTTCTTCCAATGGCGATTTTGATTTTACGAGAATTGGTCTAAGATTGGTAGTCAAATTATTATACAATCGTCATTGGGCAATTTCTAGAACAACAATATCAACTTGTAAATATTAATTACAAGTAGCCATATAAATTATGTTGTTATGCCATATAAAAAGCTATGTATAGTATAAAGTCAACCAAGTACAAAGTTAGGCTATTTATGAAATAAACCCAATGCAAAGAGTAATACACAATCCTAATACTTCCAATTGTAAAGCAATCAACATAAATATCGAACAACATTCAATTAGACATAAAAAATTAGAAGGATATTCAGGTATGACATACCTGTTTCACAAAATATGTTAAGCTCACATTAGAGGAAACAAACTTCTTAATAAATCCATTAATACACTCTGATCTACCCGTGGTAATCATCCCTCCAAAAAAATGATCACCGAGATAAGCCGACACCCAAAAAAGTTTGACATTGTATAAGCCTTGAATGTGATTATTCTCTTGCAAGTTGTACTTATGAACCATAATATTCCACTTACATTCAAACTCTTCTGATATAGTGGTCCTATATATGTTGTAAAAATCAGCACACCAATCTTGATAGGCCGTACTGAGAAGTGATGCAAACCAACAACTAAAATTTGAGGTAATATGCCATATACAAAAGCTATGCTTCGTAGTTGGCAAAATAGATGCAATTGCTTCTGACATCCAAGGGTCTTGATCAGTTTTAATCGTCTTTTGTGGCATTTTCATTATGTTAACAAAAGTCTGTTTTTGTCCAAATAATAGAGATAATTTCTAGTCAGCTAAGTAATATAATCTTACAAATAGATAAACTTAAATGTTTAGTAGTCTTACCTTCATCAACCACTTGAAAGTAGATTTTTTTTCATCAAGAAGGAGAGCACAACCGAATAAGATAGTCTTTCCATGATTATCGACACCAACAAAAATTGCACAAGGCATGTCATACGCATTCACTTTGTATGTGGTATCAAACACAATCACATCACCATACTTTTGATAAAGTTCAAAATTTTGACCTTGACACCAAAACAAATGTTCAAGCCTCCTACTATCATCCACTGTGTAATTGTGTATGCATATCGAAACAATTCATTATGTTGTCTTGAAGATTGAATATACTCTAAAAGGCTCTTAATATCATCATCTCCAAGCACTCTCTTAATTCTAGCAAAAAGATTACGAACATCTCTTTCAATAAATGATAGCTCAGCATGTCTAATATTTTTTTCAAGCTCCATGACTCGAATGATTTGTCTTACCGAAAGTCTGGCTTCTTTGTAGAGTAAATTTTTTTTCATCCTCTTGACTAATATAAACGATTAGCTGCCAGAAGATGCATTTCATCATATGACAATAGCTCGTGATTACGCTCTTTCACAAACTTTGTGACATGCCATTCTTCGGAAAATATATCAAAACACCTTTTCAGTACTATACACATATGTGCCTTAAAATCACATCTACAAGACTCCTTTTGTCTTTGAGGTTTCGACATATCAACCACTTTCAAAGGTTTTTTCCCTCCGCGACGACAATAAAAGTCACGTCTCACAACCCTTCCATGTTTAGTGTCCGAGCGATCTTTGCGAACAACATACCCATGTCGTTTAGCATAGTTGTTATAGTACATATAAGCCTCTTCTTGACTCTCAAAAGTTTGGCCAATAAAAGGTTCATTTTCATCCTCCTCAATAGCAAGAACATTCAAGTTAAAGTGTAACATTTGCACTAACTGTACACAAAAGTTTATGTAATACCCCTCATGATTGCTTTACAAGGATTTGATATACTACTCATATCAACAAGGTGCATCTTCCTTTTAGGAAGCCCATTTTCTAAGATACTCTACAGTTAAGCGAGCTAGGCTGGAAGTAGTCTTAGGATGGGTGATCTCCTGGGAAATTTTCCTAGGGCTCGCATGAGTGAGGACAAAATGTGCCGAAAGGACTTGTGTTGGTTTGTAAGGACAGTTGTACTGTTGGCCCTTGATGCGCATTTCGTGGCAATAGGCCCCTCCCTAATTTGTTTGGAGTCGGGGTGTTACAAATGGTATCAGAGCAACCCTGCGACAGCGTGCTGACCGTGGATAATTAATCCTAAGTCAGTCGTCTGGGGCCATATGGCCATAGCCAGACTGGATGTAACACTTTGGCTACCCAGTTGCCATTAGGCGTAATATTGGAGTCGCTAGCTTTCCAGGCACAACGAGGGCGTTGCCGTTCTCAAGTGGGGGTGTATGTAATACCCCTCATGATTGCTTTACAAAGATTTGATATACTACTCATTCAAACAAGGTGCATCTTCCTTTTAGGGAGCCCATTTGTTAAGATACTCCACAGTTAAGCGTGCTTGGCTGGGAGTAGTCTTGGGATGGGTGACCTCCTGGGAAAAATATTAGACAATTCATCGAATAGATTGTGGGCAATTATACTATCATAAAATTTTCTCAATTAATTCCAAAATATAAACTATGACGGTTAATTTCTTATTGAAACTCAGATATTAATCCAATGTAAGACAAGAAGACTTACCAACTTCAATGTTCAACCTCTTGATCAATTGTTTTTTCCTTCACAAGTAATTGATAGAAAGCTATTGTTTGATGGGCATGGATAATTGAATGAGATTGTGTCTCCAATCTACTTTTATGTTTCCATGGAAGGAAACTGAAGGAAGATGAAAAAGTCGTGCAAATTTTAGGCGGCAAAAATGTAAAGATAAAATAGAATAGCGCCATTAGCTAGCATTGGTAACTGATGGGAAAGGATGCAACTGTTAATTAATTACAAGGGTAATAATTGCCTTGTAATGCTCCTTATGTTTTTAATAGCATTCTTTTTATATTTAAAATATAAAAGAATCTAGACAACATTAATTCTTATATATAGCCCTAAGGGCTATATATAACATTTGCCTTTTTTTTAAAAAAAAAAAAAAAAACTAAAAACCAAAAAGAGGAAATGATTTTTTTTTTTTTTTTTACTTTTTAGTTGTCAGTTTTCAAAATTATCAATTTTTTTGTAAATTTATATTTGTAGTCATTTAAACTTTTTTTTAGCAACTAGACAATCACTAAAAACCGATAGCGCAGGCTTCTCAATATGTATTGTATCATCTAGCTACTAATATTAGAATGAAATTCATAAATTAGAAATAAGCATTTATTTAGCTTCCAAAATGTCAAAATTTGTCTATTAAAATGAACATCGTCTCTTATATTTAATTTGTGACACTATTATTCAAAGAACATTTTACGATATAAAAAATGAACAAGTATTAAACTTGAATGAATATGCTTTAATGTGCAATTGAACATTTAAAATAATTTAAATAAACGTCTATAACAATAATTACTTATGTGCATATATATGTGAATGAACATTTACCAATATGTAAATGAACATATATTATTGTAAATATAAACATAATATAAAAATAAAAATGAACTTCAATTACCATTTCTATATATGCATCTTAAACTTATGAAATGTACATATGCATTTTACAAAATGACATTGCCATTTAATACCTTTCGTATAAATAACAAATATATAAAATATGTTATACTCTTTTCTAGCCTTATGATAGCTTATTGTGTGGTGTTTTTGATACATATCTTTTCTCAATATATACATCTATGGCTTTTACTATCTTATATAATTATCTTGTGTAATAAGAGATCAAATATTTACAACATTAATCAACATCTACACATACAATTATGAACCCATTATTAAAAAAAATGATCAATGTACAATTCAATATGAAAATGAACTATTATTAAATTATTAATGAACATATCTTAATATGAACATGAACAAGTGTTAAAAGTTAAACGAGCATTAAAAATAATTTTCACTATGAACTAAATTAATTATACCTATAGAAAATATGTGAAGAAACCAGCCAAAAATACACATTATTAGAATTCTAAACACTGTGTATTAATATGTTAATGACCGCTTACTAATATAAAAATGAACATTCATAAAAAGTAATTTTCACTACGAACTAAATTTACATTTATATAATCCTACGAAATACATCAAATTATCCATAAAGTAAGAACAATTAAACTCTATTTTCAATTTTTAATGTCCAACAATGTTGTAATCAAACAACACACCATAAGTTAATTCAACACTAAATCACTTTTATGATAAAAAAAAAGTATAAGAATTCAAGAACTACTGTCGAAATTTTCATATATTTAAAGGAAATAATTGAATAAAAGGGAGAAATTTGGGGTTTGTACTTCTTTTCTTCCAAAAATAATTTACAATTTGATTTTATATCCTTGCAATTGTGTGACTTCATCTCTTATATCAAACTTTGTGCTTGATTTCTATAGAAAATTTTGACTTTTTTAGTAAATGCTTTTGCAGATTTTGATAAGAGATAATGGAGAGAGAAGATTATAAGTGTATACTAATTTTAGGAGAGAGAAAACAATGCTTTTACCTTATATTTTTTTTGGAAATTTTGTCAAAAACCACCCACTAAAGATATTTTTTTTTGTGAAAAACCACCTACAATAAAAAATGTTATAAAACACCACCCAAACTAAAAAAATATTGCAAAAAGCTACCCATTGTTGAAAACAGATCGTTGACCGTCCTCCTTTGGCGTTGACCACACTCCCTACCCCTAGAAAACCCTAGAATTCACCGGAAAAGTTTGGCCGCCCGTCCCCCTCGAAACCCCTAACATTCACCCCCCTTGAAAACCCCTAATATTCACTCCCCTTCCACCTCAAAAATCACTCCGACCACATTTTCCGATGGTGGTTCAGGGTTTTTCATTATTTTAAGTGATTTTTAAAGGTTTTCAAGGGGGAGGGGGAAGGGAGAAGGGCGATCGAACGTTTTTCGGTGAATTCTAGAGGTTTTTAAGGGGATGGGACGGGTGGCCAACACTAAGGGAGGGCGATAAATGCCGGAAAATATAGTCAACAACCTATTTCTGGCAGTAAGTGGATTTTTGCAACATTTTTTTTAGTTTGGGTGGTTTTTTACAATATTTTTTATTGTGGGTGGTTTATCACAAAAATGTGTTTTAAGTGGGTGGTTTTTCACAAAATTTCCTATTTTTTTGGGGGGTAGAAAGTAAAATGTACTAGTGTATTTTTTTGGGAAAATGGATAGTGAGGGACTGGGGGTGTAGGTAGTGCTACCTACACTAGAGTGTATGTATATATAATTAGGAGTGATAGAGTATAAAAACATATTCCCGGACCTTAACCATCAGCTTAAGCTTTTGAATGAGTTGGTCCTCTTTCAGGTATCATTAAAGTAATGAATCTCAACTCGTCAAATAAAGAACAATTAAAAATACCTAAAGATTTACTACCTTTTAGAGTGCAAGATGTTTAGCTTTTCATTCCTAAAACATCAAGAAGGCCCAACATCTAAGATGGCAAGACCCTAAAAGTCTAAAACCTTGTGTTGATAATTAACTATTACTCCCTAGCCTCCGTTTCATAATGATGTTCCTGTTTTGTAAATCGATGCAAATTTTTACCTATATTTGACTGCAAATATCTTTAATCTCACACTAGCAAAACTATAAAAGTTAGATATTAATAATCTACTCACCAAGACGAATCAAACTAGATCCTACATGAATATATTTGTTCTTATAGATTAAGAGAAATTTAGAAGATTCTCTTTTTTTTTTGTTTTTTAAAAAAAAAGTCAAGGATTCCAAACAAAAAATCATTGTGGAACGGAGGGAGTAATTGATTGTATAAACCGATTTGACTAGATGGTTATATTAGCAGATTTAACTAGCTGGTGGTAAATAACTGATTGTATAAAAGTGTTTGGTAAATCACTGTTGAATATTAGATGTTTTCAATGTACTTATTACCTAAAAAGCTAATTATTCAATGAGCTAATTTCCAAAAGCTCTTATAAAGAGGTTTGATAAGAAAAGAAAAAAAAACTTTTTGAGTCCAAACATCCAAATTAGCTTTTATAATAGTCAAACCTCTAATACTTAGTAAGCTTAAAGCTTTCCGAAAAGTTCTTTACCTAACAAAGTCAAGTGCAACTATTCGACCTTGTAACTAGGGATGTCAATGGGTGGAGCAGATGTTGGCCTTCTCATCCCCATCTCCACCTAAAATTTTCATCCCCATTGCATGGCAGGTCCAAAATTTGTCCACATCCTTGCTCCAATAGGTACAATTCCAAAACCATCCCTACCCTCCCTTCCGCCACTTGGATATCCACCCCCACTTATTCCCCACCTAATCCCCACCTTTCATACACAATCTAATATACTTCCTCTGTTTTTTAATTTGACACATTTCCATTATCATGCTTGCCAACGCATGTTTTCAATGCTTAATAACTTCAATTATCAACATTGTAAATTATAAAAAGTGGATATTAATAAAATATACATATAGACGATTTAAAGAAGATTCCACATGACTATATTTTATCGTATTATAAATCACAAAAACAAGTCAAAGAGTAGTTTGTGAATAGTGTAAAAGTCAAACGGTGTCAACTAAAAACAAACGAAGGAAGTAATTATCGTAGATTACACGCACAAAAATAATATTGTTAATATTACAAATTTTTTAGTTATAATATTATTGTATTTACAAAGTATTATATCTACTATTTTTATTTTGCGTAATTTTTTTTTACAAAGTAGTATAAAAGTACGTAGTATATAATTTTGTTTTAAAAAATATATAGATTTAGGTGTGTGGTGGGGAATGAGCAACATTTCTCAGACTCAAATAAGTTGAGGGAAAATTTTCCAATTACTACCGCAAGTTAATACTACTTTGTAAATTACTACCGTAAATTAAAAAAGTTGTGAATTACTACCGTAAATTTTTTTAAGATGTTGCGATTACTACCAAACCCCCATTTAACCCAACTATGACATCATTATATCACTTCAACCCATGGTTAAAGCCCTTAACCATGACGTCATTATATCCCTAACCCATTTTCTTTTTCTTTTTTTTTTGGGGGGGGGGGGGAGGGGCTGGTTAAAGCCCTTAACCATGGTCAAACACGGGTTAAAGGGATATAATGACGTCATAGTTGGGTTTAATGGGGGTTTGGTAGTAATCGCAACATCTTAAAAATTTTTGCGGTAGTAATTCACAACTTTTTTAATTTGCGGTAGTACTTTACAACGTGGTATTAACTTGCGGTAGTAATTGGAAAATTATCCTAAGTTGAGTCCTCTTAGACTTAACTTAGGGGTAAAATGGGAAATTCACAATATTGAATAAAGTAAGGAGAAGTTGAAGCCAGTTGGTCCCCACAATTTGTTAGTTATTCATTAATCAAACAAAAAAAAACGTAAAAAGGGTTGAAGCTTTTAAAAAAAGAAAAGGAGGAGAGAGAAAAAAACTCATAACACATTTGATAAAGAACAAACAGCGCAAATTCAAAACCTAGAAAGAGAGAGGCAGTTTTCAAAAGCATTTTGGAAGCCAAATTCTCATCCTTTAGTAGTAATTTGAAGTGTAACAGTAGCATTGGAGTACCGTGGGTGTTTGCCGAATTTTGGTTGCCGCCAATTTCGGAAGGAAAACGCCGGAGTATCGCTCTTCGTGGGATGTAAGTTTCAACCATTATTAATTAATTTTTTTCCCATAAATTTGCGTGTTCTTGTATCATTTGTGTGAATGTCGAAGAATTTATCAAATTATTTGGTTAAATGTGAATTTACGTGTGTTAGGGTTAATTAGTTAAGTATGTGTGAAAAAGTAAGGGTTTTTACTTTGAATTATGTGTGAATTGAATTTAATTATGTGAATTGAATTTAAGTATTTGTGGAATTAAGTGTTTTTACTTTGCCGGATGTTCTAATTCGCTTGTCCAAATAATTATTGCACCTCTTTGTTCGAATTATGTGTGTAGGGTGTGGGAATTGAATGCAAGTATGTGATGATTTTTTATGGGTGATGAAGAATGTAAATTCTGGGTAACAGTGACAAAAATTATTTGGTTTGTGTTTTCGATTTGAATGAGAAATGGATTTGCTAAGTTGATGTCCTAATGTGGTATGTTGATTCCTGTTATGAGCTTTGATTTGAATGAGAAATTAATGTTGTTGCTGTGTTAATTCCTGTCGTGAATCTCTGCTTTAAATTAGGTGAATTGTATTTTAGTTTAATTAATTAATGTGAATTTTGAATGCAATTTGAAGAGGTGTTATGTGTATGATTGTGTTGAGTTACTGAAATTAGATGATCAAATAATGTTGCATGGTTTTGATACCATAATGTTCTAGTTGGTGATCCCATAATGTTACATATGGTGATACCACCATCTTGGTTGTTGGTACTCTCTTCTTTGGTGTAGTGGTATTGGTTGGTAGAATTGATTTGATGGTTGGTATTTGATTTGTGTCTTAATGGTATATAGGAACTTGTTTGGGTGGTGGTGTAGGTGCTTGTCCAAATAATTATTGATATGGTTTCCTTTTTTTTGCGTGTGTTGTTCTAATGTTTTAGTCATGATGTCGGAGCAGTACAATGATTCTTCAATAGGCTGTCGATGTAAATGGGGGTATGTGACGAAAGAATTTAAAAAAAAACACCTAGTACAGTGTTGAGCGCAGTTGCTTTCTAGTTATGATTTGGTATATGTATACATTGATTAATTTTTTTTGATACCTTTCGCAGTGTAACCTTAAACATATATTGAAGACTAGAAACGCTCCAACTGGTTCATCTAGCAAACAACAGGCCAACAAGAAAATGAAACAAGCAGTTGTTGAGGATGGAGATGAAGATAATAACTATGATGGGATGATCACAATTTTAACGATGCTGACTATGTGGTGTAAGAAGAAGAAGAAGACTATGGTGAAGGTGATATTATTCAAGGTGATTACAAGGTGGAGTCAGAGTACCTTGTGACTCGGCACATCGACAAGAAGCGTAAAATTGTTCCCCCACCACCAAAACATATCAGACCCTCACAACCCCCACAGCCGAAGGTTCAGAAGAGCACAACGTCCACTAGTAATTGAACAGGACTTTAATGAGGTATAAAAGCATTGTAATCTGAAGCAAGTAGTTCCTTATGTTATTGTTCTTTTGTTGATGATTTGTAATGTTGGGTAGATGATTTTGAGTTATGTTGGACAACCGAATATAACTTTGGGTGAGCAAGTTAAAAAAAGAGGTGTGATAGTTGCGACACAGTTGAGGAATTGTAGTTGGAAGGTAAAGTTTGTCGATAAAAGCTTTGTTCTGGACTATATTTTCTTCATGTTTATTTGTTGACTTTGAAGGTTTGTTTTGTCATTTTATTTCAGCAAGCGAACTTCAATTGTCGGATTGGTGCATTTATCGATGTTGTGAAGGCGATGTGCATAGATGAGAACAAAAAATAGTTGTTGGAGGGAAGTGGGTTTGGAGGGTTGTTGAAGTTGCCTTTAATAAAGATTGATTGTAGGTTTTTTTACTGCCTTATGACAAGGATTGATTCGAAGAAGAAGGTGTTAATTGGAGGAGATGGAAGAGAGCTACCTTTATGCCCTGAACAATGTGGTGCATATTTGGCCTTCCCGGAGTCCAAACCCTGTGCCTGTTAAATTTCTTAATGCATCCATGCAAGCAAGGGTCGATCGTATTGTTCATCAGTATGGGGAGATTACAAAAGACAATGTGTAATCCCCCATATTTTAATTTAATTATAATTTATTTATATATTATTCTTACAATTATATTTATGGCAATTTCATTAAATAAATTATTTTTATGAAAGGATTTAAAATAAACTAGTGTATTTTTATTAATTTACAAGTAATTCTAACATAGCCCAAAACCCAAATACTACTCCTAATCTAATTAGGAAACCCAAAGCCCAAATAAAACCCTCAAAAACCCTCACTTTCCTCCTCCTTCTCACGTAAAAAAAAAAAAAGGGAAAAACCTTCATATTTTTTTTCTCCTCCTTTCCTACTGTTTTCACGAAGAGAAGAGAAAAAAAAAAAAAAAAAAAAAAACCTGCTAACTGCTGCCGCCCAGCAGCCACCGCCCCTGCCGCCCAGCAGCCACCGCGCGCCGCCAGCAGCCCAGTAGTTCGACTCCTCCCTTTCTCCTTCCTCTTATTTCTCTTCCTTTATTCTTGTTATTTTGATTTAAAGATTCAATTTTTATTTGATTTCAATTATAAAATTATTGTTATTAGGCTTTAATAGTATGTATAAATTACAAAAGATTATAAATTTATGGGTTTTAACATGTTTAAAGTATTATATTAATTTTCAGATTTGGTTATGTGTGAATTTAGGGTATTAAAGTGTTGATTTTTCATGTTTAAAGGCTTAATTATGTACTAAACAAGTTACTTAATTATTCTATGTTCAAAGTATGTCAAAGTATGATTATTTTGGTTGTATATAAATTTTCAGATTTAATAAAGTTTCAATTTTTATGGATTAGTAGTGTTAATTTCATGTTTTTATGCTTCTAAACCTATAAAATATTTATTGTGGGTATTTTGTGATTGAAAAAGCTTTGAACCTTATATTCTAATCTTAATTATAATTTTCAGATTTCATACCTTTTATTTTGAAGCCTCTAATTTAGGGGTGGGACTTTTCAAACCGAACCGTGAAACCGTCTGTTACCGAACCGAACCATCACGGACCGAACAGTTTATAACCCGCTAATTTTAAACCGAAAACCGAACTGAACCGTATAATGTCAAACCGAAACCGAACCGAACCAATTAATGTTAACCCGTTACGAACCGTAAACCAATAACAAACCAAACCGTTTATAAATCGAAACCGTTTGAACCGATTAATCTTAACCCGCTAACTGTTTAAACCGAATCGTTTATAAACCGAAACCGTTTAAACCGTAGGAAAAACCGTTTAAATCGAACCATTTACAACCCGCTAACCGTTTAAACCGAACTGTTATAACCCATTAAACCGTTTAAACCGAACTATTTTCAAACCGCAACCCGTTTAAACCAATCCGATTACAAACTATTTAAACCGAACCGTTTACAACCCGTTCCATTCAAATTGAACTATTTACAGCCTTTAACAATTTGTTAGAATTCCACGAAATATATTTGATGTTTAATGTAATTTAACAGTACAATTTTTTTTACATATAATTATTGATTTAAATTTGTAATTTTTTTTGCTATTATAAAATTAAAATTATATTCTTGTATAACTAAATTAGGAGTTATAAATTAAATAAAAAAATGAAAAAATTTGGCCACCCACCCACCACCGTAACCCACCCTAACACCACCCCCGCCGTCACCCCAGACCCACCCTAACACTACCCCCACCCACCACCGTTACCGTAACCCACCCCCACCCCACCACCGTTACCGTAACCCACCCCCACCCCACCAACGTCAACCCAGACCCACCCTAACACCACCCCCGCACCCACCATAATTACCGTAACCCACCCCACCACCCACCGTAAATAAAAAAACCCAGACCCAAACCTTACCCCACCCCATCCACCACCGTCACCGTAAATAATAAAAACCCAGACCCAGACCCATATCCCACCCCACCTACCACCATCACCGTAACGTACCCCACCCCACCCCACCCCACCCCCCTTAACAAACCCCACCCCACCCTACCCACCACCGTCACTGTAAAAAAAAAAAAAAAAAAAAAAAAAAAAAAAAAAAAAAAAAAAAAAACAGACCCAACCCCAACCACACCCACCACCGTCACCGTAACACACCCCACCCCACCCCATACAAAAAAATCGAAAAAAAAACCCAAACCCACCGTAACCACACCCCACCTACCCCCACGAAACCCAACATCCTCGAAACCCCCCAACTCACTTTAATTGCTCACCCACCATAAAACTCCCTCCCTTCCTCGAAAAATCCTCCCTCCCAACCCACCCGAACCCAGTCTAACCGCCGCCGCACCCACCCTAACTCGGCCCCCTCCGTTGCCCACAACTTGAAAAAAAATTAAAAAGAAAAACAAAAAATTAAAAAAAGGAAGAACGAAAACACCTTATATATTAATCCTGAATTTGGCCTCGAATTTGGTTTTAAAAGGCCAAATTCGATCATGAAGCAACTAGATCTAGAGTTTCGTGGTCGAATTTGACCATAAAAACCGTCGTGCGTGGTGCCGGTGGACGGAGACGGAGAAACGAGATGGAAGAAAGGAGAACATAGACGGAAGAAGGGAGAAGAAGGAAGAAGAAGAAAGGAAGAAGGAAGAGGAGATGAGAGAGAAAACGAGAGAGCAGTGAGCATATTAGCAGCCATGGCTTCAAAAAATTGATAATATTACAGAAGAGGATTAAGAAAACGAGAGAGAAATCAAAAAGAGTACTAAAGAGACGATGGTAAGAGTGATCTGATTGGTGGAAAAGAAAACACACAGATCGTGAATTGGAATGTGTGCGATGATAGGCCGTTAGATGACATGCAAATCAATGGCTGATATTTAATATAAGACGGTGACACGGATCATGGGATAATGGATTTGGATAGTATGTTTTTTTTTATTCATAGCTACGTACTAATAAAAACACTACTGTACTCTTAACTTTATGTAACTTATAAATTGTAAGAAACACAAATGTTTGGAAATTGGAATTGATTCAATATAACATATTTAATGTATATTAGTTATATGTATATCAGTATATGTAATAAATAATAATGTATGGTACGATTGGTATCATACTATCATTGGTATGTATAGATAATCGATAAATGTATCTGATTATTAAAACTTAAAACAGTTGATGATCGATCTAATTGAATACTTCTACTTCCTCACCCGTTTTCTTTAACTTGCAAGTTGCAACATATATATGTTGCAGCCTTGTAGGCACGTAATCTTAAAAGGTGATTAGAGAGGGTAAGACAACAAAGTAATTCAGCAATATAACTTTAACACCAAAATTATGGAATAGTTACAAACAATTGTCAATTATTACTTTATTAGACTAATGGGAAATTGAATAATCGTGATTTTAATTAAACATCCAAATATAGTTCCGTAACATTAAATTATTAGTTTATTACAATATCAATTATCGATTTATCGTATTCAAAGTACCAATTCATCAAATCATGGTTATGACGCGATCTTTAAAACAATTAAAACAAGAAGATGATAGCCTGATAATATTTGATAATGAAACAATAATACATTAATACCTTATAAATTTGTAATAGACTAATATTTAATAAACAACAACAAGACTATAACCAAATTTGAAACATAACACATTAACATGATATAGAATGAATGAGAATTTCTGTAATTCTATATAATCTGATATCTGAATCGATTTATCGTATTCAAAGTAGCAACTCATCAAAACATGGTCATGACACGATATCTAAAACAATCCAACAAGAAACTGATAACCTAATAATATATATTTAATAATGAAACAATAATACATTATAAATTTGTTAGACTAATATGATAATATCGAATAAACAACAACAAGAGTATAACCAAACTTGAAACATAACATATTAACATGATATAGAATAATTGAATAAATGAAGATTTGTGTAATTGTATATAATCTGATGTCTGAAAATAAAGTGACGAAGTCCCAACTTTATATAAAACGAAAATAGCTAACCGGTCAAAAATCTCTTAAAACCCAATTTCTACTCGATCCATTATTTTTTTCACCAACCTATGCCGACCCGCTAATTAAATGGAAATACTAGTCCCAACTTGATATAAAACAAAACACGCTAACTGGTCAAAACCACTTTTTAGAACTCGATTTCAACCCGATCCAATTTAACCGATTACCAAACTAACCCGAACGATTTTAGCACCAAACCGAGTATAAACCGAACCGATATGAATCGAACTAGCATTAACCCGGGTAAACCCGCCCCTGAACCGACCCATTTCAAAATAATCCGTTCATGACCCGAACCGATATGAACCCGGACCGACGTTGACCCGGTAAAACCGCCCCTGAACCGATCCGTTTCAAACCGGTCAGATCATGACCCGAACCGTTTATAAACCGAACGGGCATTGACCCGGGTAAACCCGCCCCTGAACCGACCTGTTTCAAACCGACCCGATTATTAACCGAACCGTTTAAAAACCGAACCGGCATTGACCCGAGTAAATCCGCCCCTGAAGCGACCCGTTTCTAACCGATCTGATTATGACCCGAACTGTTTATAAACCGAACCGTTTATGACCCGAACCGAATTTAAATCGTACAAAAATAAACCGAAACCGAACCGACCTGTGACTAATCAAAACCGAACTGAACCGACCCGCCGTCTAAATGAAACCGTTTTAACCCGAACCGTTTCAAACCGAAACCGTTTCAAACTGAGGTCAAACCGAACTGCCAGACCGAAGTCCCACCCCTACTCTAATTGCGTTGAATTGATATATTCTTGGGTTTTTAACACACTAACTTGCTATATAATGACTATTTCAAGCAATTATGCTTATGGGGTTATTTTATATATTTAAAACAAAATTCCAGATTTAATTACCTATTTCAAAGTTGCTGTAATTTGATATAAAACACTATATTTTCATAATTCTAACATGTAAACTTAAAGTTGGGATGTTATATTACTAACTTTGATTTTTGGGGACAATCTAAAGACTTTGTTTTGGTAATTTAAGAGGTTTTAAAGTAGTTTAGTATTGCTGTAATTTTGATTGCTTTGGTATTGATTTATTCCTAATTGTTTGGTTTAGGAGAGGACTTCGTAGAAGGCGACTTCTAGTTTTAAAGTGGCCAACCGGATTGTTTACACAAGGTACGTACAAGATACGAAACCTTGCTTGTAGGTGCATGTTTAAGGACGGATCGAGAACTTAGTATCATGTATAGGAGTTAAATTGTCTGGTTATACATTGTGAATTTCAAATGACGTGCACTAGTTTATAATGCAAGTATTATTTGTGCTTTATTTATGCAAGGTACGCTTAAAGACAAAGGTATGTGATTGGTGTAAAGATCAAATTATTACTCGTTCAGGATTATGTAAACAGGATGAGTAAAGGAGGAATTCAAGTCTTGTAAGACGAGGTTAAGGTTTTGGGGTGCCTTATGCACTCAAGGTGTTTATACACCGAGGTAGTAATGGAATAAATAATAAATGTTGCTTGCCACTAATAAATCAAGAATTGAAATTGAAAAGTTGTTTTATTTGATTGAATTGATATTGGATTGATTGTATTGTTATGCATATGAGTCATCACCAAGTTTAAACCTGTAAATCACGTAAAGTGCAAGATGGATGAGCAATAAAACTCTGGATTGGTGCACTTCTGGAGTAATGACAATCAGGGGTTGGGGTATATGGGGTATTAGCCGTGTACTTTTCTCGAGGCCTTCTGATCTACGAGTCTCTTCTTTCAAATATTATTTTTCTAAAACTAGGAGTTAGGTGAGATCTCATACTAACTACGGTCACGGAGTCGCGCCCGTGGTCGTTGGATGTTTATTGATGTTTCCGAAAGGAGGCATGGGGTTTTCTTTATTGATGTTCCAAATGGGACATGGGTTGGACAACCTTGTCTATTGCTAAATCCAATGAAATAAATAAACGAGCCAGTTAATATTAAATAGTGAGGTCTTAATAAATTCGTGAATCGAGTTGTGAATTGAGTCTATATTTAATGATGCTTGTGCTTGAATATTAGTAGCATGTTAGGTATTTTCTCAATTCGTTTTCGCAGCTTGTATGTACTCAGCTTTGCTGACTGCGTGCTTTTGTGTGTGTTTTTCTTTGGTCATGGCCTTCGCCTTTCAATGACCCTGTGACGATCCAATTTTTACACTTGTAATATTGGGGAGCAGAATAACCACAAGTTCTTACACATGCAGCATTCATCAGGGTTGTGGGATCTTGAGTAGAGAGTTGGTTGTTTCCATATTATTTATTTTGCAAAGTTTGAATTTAATTTAATTTGTTTTTAGTTGACGCTAATTCTTTTGAGTTTGAAGTTATTAGGACTCTGAATTTAATCACTTACTACTTTTATTGGGTTTTGAATAAGGGCCTTAATGGTTCCAACTTGTAATACTTATTTTGATTTAATTCCTTTGTTTTGAGGTTTCTTTAAAACTGTTTTGGTTTTCCGCTGCTAATTTCTGAGATAGCCTTAACGTTTGAACACGTGGCGGTAGAACACCAGTAATTCTCTTGAAATTGTTCAGGTTATATACAGGTTTCTCACAGGTTTTTAAGAGAGAATTATTGGGGTGTTACACAATGTTTGTCACATCAAGATTCAGCAAGCAGTTGATAAGCTTCCTTTGATGCCGATTGTAACTGTGTTTATGAAGGCCTTCTTACTAATGATATTGGGACTTCTTACTAATGATGTTGGGACTGCTGATATGTCCCACTACAAATGGTCAGAGCTTGGCAACTACGTTATTGCATTCTGTTTCAATAGGGGCTGCTGCACCGGATTTCGATTGGTGTACATATGCACATAGTTGGCCGATGACTTGTGTCAGAGATTTTAGGAAGAGGCTACACAACAAAGGGTACTCGGCTGCTGGTGGTGGATGTGTCCTATTCCTTCAGGTCTTGTTTTCCTCTATATGTTAATTACAATTATTATGAAAGCAATATATGTCTTGAAATGTGAGATTGGGTTTATGGCAGTCTTGGTATCATTTTTGGTTTGTTGATTTGCATATGATTGAAATAAAGGTTGTAGTCCATATTAGTTTTGCTTATGAAATTGCATATTTGCATATCATGTTAGATGTATAGAGTAGGTAGACTGTGCTTTAAGGTGGTGATGCACTTGGTTTTAATTGAAAGACATATGAGAATCTTTTGTAGTGGGGATGCACTTTAGGTCTTTTTACTAAACCTTTTTTTTCGTTTTTTGTTTTCTTTATGCATTTGTTGTGTAGATATTTTACTTGGACCACCTAGCAATGCCTCCTTTGAGCTGCGGGGGTTATGCCAAGATCGGTGGTGTGGACTGAGAAGAAACTGCCAGCTGCTATTCAAGCTGATTTGCTCCCTTCCCTAAACTATGGGAAACAGAAGGTGAATGTGTTATTTTGTTATATACAATATTTTGGATCCTTTTTAAATTCCCTTAAAATCAATTTAGACGGTTGATGTTGCGTACGAGGAACGACATCCTTTGATTGGAAGGGATTCATTCGAATCGTTAGAAGTCAACATTGCAAATGAGGTAAAGTGTATTGGTATTTGACGTGTTTTGTGTTTATGAAAATAAAAAACTAATTCTGTTTTTTATTTTTCTTTTTGTGTGGTAGGTAATTGTGGTATCTAGTTTTTAGTGGACGGAAATTAGTCTATAAAAGGTTCCACTTAAGTGTCTGATAAGACTTATAAATAAAACGTAGAGTCGCCACCTTATTTTTATCCGAATAAGGACGGATTTTAGAACAACCAATTTTAAGAAATTAAAACTTAATAAAAATCAACTGCTAACTCCGTAATAGGAAATAAGGCACAGGGTTCGGGGTTTAGGTTAAGAGAATCGAACATCTGGTCGTCTTCTCTTCCGTTCTATAGAACGGGCTCTTACTATTGCGTTGTCAAAATCAAGTTTTAAGACATATTAACCACAAAAAACAAAAAATTAATACAAGGTAGGTTTGAGCACCAAAGTTGCACTACGTACCGATCATAGTGAGATTTTGAATTCACTCACGGATCAAAACCTTCGTAGTTCGGACAAATGCCATGTTTTAAATAACCAATTCCATTGGGTTTTTAATTTGGGTTGTTGACATAAACGTCATTTTTGTAAGTGGGATTTTAGTGATCTTTGACGGATTCACTCATAAAAGTAAAATGAACCACCTTGGTGGAGGAAAATCACCCCGATTAGTGATCACCAAAAATGTCTTTTGAACAAGACAATTCAACAAATGCGTCCCGATTGACGAATTTTAAGTGGGTCAAGGTATTTTTTGGAGTGAAATTGTAAGGGTTCACTATATAATCTCACTTTGGGTTTAAATTCACTCAAGGGTAATTTTATAAGGTTTTATGGGTTATGTGTTTAGGCTTAATGGAATTGGCCAAATAAAGCACGACACCTGTCAAGGCCTTACATCCAAATAAAAGGGAACAATAAACTATTTAATCATATCCGATTGTCAATTAATCCATCGGGTAATTATGATGAGATATAAGTTTATTTCCATGGAGATGGATAATTGTTACAACCTTATACAACTAAATAATTAATCTTAACCTCATGTTTGGAAATGAGGCCATAACCTCATATTAACTATCATTACTTATTAAAAACAAACAAGCAAAGTTATGATTCATTCTTGTGTCACAAAAGTCATCTTAAAATAAAATTAAAGATTTTTAAAACAACGACATTTAGAATTAAAGACTCTTATTTCTGAAGTCATCTTTAAGGTAAGATTAAAGTTTCTCTAAATAATACTTAGAATTAAAGCTTGTTAAAATTCTTATTTCTAAAATCACCTTTTAAAAAAAAAGATTAAAACATTTTATTTAAAATTCCATAAGTTTAAAAGTATATATATAATATAGTGTAATAGGTGTCATATCACCATTAGTTTCTTAAAAATAAATTAATACCATTTTAAAAAAGCAATTACGAGAAAAACGTGCATATTTCACCTCTTTGATAGCTTGAACTAAAAAAATCATTAAAAAACATAGAAAAATCGAAAAAAATTAATGTGAGATATGGTTGGAAAGATATTGAAAAGTTCTATCACTTGAGCTAAAGAACTGGAACTGATTATGGTCGCAAAAGTTATTTAATAGGCCATCTTTGGGACGTGGTAAGTAGTTCTTTACTCTTGAACAACCTTTGCTTAAACTCTTAATTCCTTAGGTCTTTAAGTTCACATTAAGAAATACATCATTCTTTTAAAAAAAAATATTAGGTAGTCACGTGAATGCATTAACCTTTCATATTTAAAATGCATTATAAAGAGATACAATGCAAAATGCAATTAACCCCCCCCCCCCCCCCACTTTGTAACCTATCACCTCACCAATAGGCTTGACTTTCTAATGTGGAGTAATGAAAGATTTAGGGCTAATTTAGCACCTAATATCGTCATTACCCCTATTGGTAACACCACATGAAAACAAACACATTAGTTAGCATAATAATAATAATTAATGAAATTAAGAAAGGAATAAAGATAATACCTTGAACTAGATGTAGCAATATTTTTGGATAACCCTTCTTACTTATCCAGAATGAAAAGATGATTACTCCTTAGTTAAAGTGTAATAAAGAGACTAAGTGATTTTTTTTTTTTGGAATTTTGAGATATTAAAAGAAATTAATGCAAAATAAAGCTAAAGAACTTTTTTTGATTTTTTAATTATAGAAAATAATCTTGAAAAATAAAACTAAATCTTAAGAGAGAAAATTTTTTTAGTTTTTTTTTTTTAATATAGACTAGGATACTTGAGCAATTAAACTAATATTTTTAACAAAGATAATAATAACAACAATACTTGAACTTGAAATATTTTTTGTGTTTTTTTTATAGGAATTAAAGATAATAACAATATTTAAATAAAAAAAAATAGAAATCGCAACTTAATTATAAGATGCTTTTAATAAGCTAATAACTTAAAAATAAAGCTAAATTAGAGAGATTTTGACTAAAACAAAGATTAGAAGAGAAATTTTTAGAGAGAATTTTTAGAGAGAGAAGTTGTAAGAATTTTTTGATGTGTTTTTAACTTGAAAATTAGGGGGGTATTTATAGGAAAAATAAAGGGGTTAATTTGTAAATAGAAAAGTAAATAAATTAAAATTCAAGGATTATTTTGGTAAATATCAAGATTTTGGTAATAATGAGAATCTTGATATTAAATTCTTTCGTTTTATATGTAACAAACTACTTAATCCGTTTTACAACACTTAAACTGATAAAATAAAGAAAACCGTAATAAAATCAACTCTAATATTCATATAATAAAAAGGTTCTAAAATGCCATGGTATTACAAAAAGAAAATATATGACCAAGTCATGTCACAACTCAAAATAATACTCACATGGTATACAATAACAGAGTACCTAAATTTATTTAGTGACTATTATACTCACCAAGGTACTAAAACAACACTTATAAATTAAACATCAGCTCTGAGATGTCAGCTCTGAAAGTTACACAAAGACATCAGGTTACCATACTAATAGGGTTGGACAAAACATTTCAGAGTTTATGAAAAATTAAAAAAGAAGAATAACCCCTGTGCTTATTAGATAGTACATATAAATTTACCCAGGAACATCTAATCATATGACAAAATCGTATACATACGAGCATTACAAACAACGACCCCTACTAAAAGTACAAAATAAAGTAATCCATATAAAGTCATAAAATTGACGTGGTCAAAGTGAAAATATACCATATAAAATCATACAATATTAATTCATACGAGATAAATTTAAGATAGTCAAGAGTAAAATATATTCCCTTAACTGAATGACCCTTAAAAAAAAGGTGAACTCTTATCTTTCCTTAATCTACTAAAACACAAGTTTATATTTATCATAGTCGTATTATTTCACAATTGACGATGACAAGAGATACAAAAATTGGATCAAAGCAAACTAAAGAAACGAAGAGAAAAAAAAAAAAACAAGGGAACAAGATGCATGAAAAGGGCTTCATCATCATGATGAGCTCGTAACTAACTACTACTCAGTCACATTACCATTATGGATTCATGCATTCATATCCTAACTAATTTCTAGAAGCTTAAAGTACCACTGTAGATTCAGGCATACGTATCCTATCTAATTGCTACAAGCATAAAGCTGTTGATTCAGCCATTATCAGCCTGTTTTACTACTGTCCACATACACGCTTCCTATCGATATATGATCATTGATCCGAATTGATATCTATTGGATCCAATATTAACCGTGGGGGATAAAAAAAAGGTAACGTTATTTCACTATTGACAATTGTTCATCAAAATTGACTAAAGGATACAAAAATTAGACTGAAATAAACAAGTTATACAAAGTAAATAAGAAAAAAAGTAAAACAAGAAGAAAAGAACAAATTACAAAAGAAAGTCAGTATCCACATTCTTAGACATGATTTTAGCAGCAAAAAAAATGGCTTTCTTTCATCATAATACTCCATCCGACCCTTATCCATGCTGTTACAATATTAATACTTAATCGAAATGAGAAAACGGATCCTAGTTTAACTCCGGATACTCACCCTGCTAACACTATTCACCTACTATTCAACATAATAATTATACAAAACAACCACACATTCTTGACCAAAAAAAAAATATATTTTTATCCATACGTATCCCCCTCTTTAAATATCGACGGGTTTGCTCCGAACTTGTATTTATCAGAACAAGTATTAACTGTGGATTGAAATGACAATGACATTTTAACAAGTGTATATAAAAGGAGGTTCCTTTAGCACTACAACATGTAGTACTCATTTAGGTGTGGGAATGTTTGTAACTTCCCTTTGGTTGGGCATGAGTCTTTAGTCTGGTGGAATTTATAGGTAAACTGGTCATATAATAGGGTATTGCACAAATCGCAAAATTCACTAGATAAAAAAAATACTCTAACAATCTAAGTGAACATACTAATATACTTAATATACTCTAAAGGAGTAAATAATGCTTATTTATAGAGAAAATGACATACTCCCCTAGCCAAACAAAAAAAATTATACTTTATACTATATTATTATACATATACGTATAGAAATACGGTCTAAAATACCTAGCCTACTTTTTACTATAAAAAGAAATTACCCTTATCCAAAATCTCCACTCACCACTTAATTCTTATCTTCTTCCATCTTCCTCCTTACCCGAAAAAATCAAACAAAAACCACCATTAAACTCAACCACCATGTTTCAAGAAAACCAGGAAAATCAGCCTGTCTTCACCTTTGAGGAAGACATGAGGATGATAAGGGTGTACTTCATGTACATTGTGGGGCTAGTGGTCCTCCTAATGGCCGTATTAATTTACTTGTTAATCCATAAGTAAAAAAACGAAAATTACTTCGGTGGAGCAGGGTAGAAATGCATGTAGTGTTAGTTGTACTTTAATATTTTGTAATTTAGTAGTTTAGAAGTACAAATTATAACATGTATCTTGGGAATTATGAATAAAAATCATTATTATTACTCGTTTTCTTTGTTTTAAATAATAAAACGAGCGTCATTAAGTTTATAAAAATAATTAGCAAAATAATAATAATTATTTGCAAAGAAAACGATAACTATAAATAAAAGATAATTAATAATGATAATTACAAAGGTAAGATCAAAATTTGGTGTCTACAGTAATGGAAATGATCATTCCTATGTTTGAGAATATGTAGAAGAGGATGCTGAAAGCCTGCAACCAAAGCATACCTACATTAATGAAGCCTATGGTTGAGAACATGGAGCAAAAGATGGAGTAGATGCTGAAAGCTCATAACCACATCATACCTACTTTGAGGAATGCACCGAAGGAAAGGTCACTTGTTCACAAGTCCCCTGTTGTAAGTAAGGGTGATGTGAGTACTGGTAGCTCTTCAATCAAGGAGCGGGAGTTCGAATCACATAATGTGAATAGGAAATCTCTGTCTGATACTTTCATGAAGATAGATGATGTTATCGATGTTGGGGATACAACGATGAAAGTTGTAGATGTGATTGAGGGAGTCACATAAAAGGTGTGTTATGATTTTTGGGACATGAAAGAGGTGTAAGGTGTGGTTGAAGGACGTGCTGGAGGAGGGGTTGTAGGGGTTGCTGCTTGAGAAGGGGTTGGAGGGGTTGCTGCTGGAGGAGGGGTTGATGAGGGCAATGGTGAAAGCAGGGAAGAACGAATTGGGAAGGGCAATGATGGTGATGGTGATGGTGAAGGGTTGCAGCCTCCTGAGACAACACATGAACCTGTGACAACCCATGTATCAAAGGAAGGTGAAGATGGAGAAAAGAACCGCAACCGGAGTGAAAGTAAGCGGACTCTAAAGCCGTCTTCTAAGGTGCTTTCTAGAGACTTTGTCGGAAATTGTAGGGGTTAGGTGTCTAAGCTTAAGACACCTGATTTGAATCTTGTGAAGTGGATTAAGATGGGATTTTCCGGGACTGGCAGGTGAGTCCAATCTGTAACTTGTACTTTCGATGATTACATAAATTTTAATTTTTTTTTAATATGTTTCAATGGGTGATTAGCTTGTGGACTTTACACAATAAATGTTCAATCATTTTTATTTGATTAAAGATTTCATTAGAGAAGTCATTCATACAGTATCCAAAGTTGTTACACTTAATCACATTTTGTTAAATCATAAAGTCACCAGATACTATACCATCCTGTTAAAGTATAGATTTAGATGGTATTCTTTAGTATACCATCCTTGCAAAATTTAGACTTAGATGGTACTGATCACTATACCATCCTGGTAACATCTACTCTAAGATGGTACTCAGTACTATACCATCCTGATACAATCTAGATAAAGATGGTATTAGTTGGTTTATAATATGAGTAACAGGAGTGTTTTCTATTATTTTAGTGGTCCTGTGCTGTTGGAATTGAATGTGAAGGGGAATATGCTAATAATAAGGAATGTTGCTATAATGTTCTTCATTGTCGCCAAAGGGTTGGTACGGAGTATGTATCTGTGGAGTCTAAGTTGTATACTAAGGAATGGGGCATCAAGTATGAGGGGCACAACAAAAGGATAATGCTGCATCCTGCACTTGCGGTACGTTAATTGGCCTTATGTTTGAACTGATTTGGTACTTCCAAGTAAGTGAACAGTTCTTCCTAATTTTTTTTGTTCTTTTTTTTGGTCCACTTTACAGATTAAGCAAGTTACTGACATGGATGACGCTCCCACTCTTGCCAAAAAAATGGGCATCATTTGCGCGGTGTGGCTTGTACCCAAGTTTCTGTGGTGAGAGCTAATTATGCATTTGCTAAATTGATTGTCGGTTATGCTTTGGGGAGTAATTAATCTAGTGTTGTGTTAATTTGCTGTTGTGCATTGCAGATATTTGTCCCTATACTAATGGATGAACATTTGGTGGTGTGTTGCCTTCTCCTTCAAAGAACTGAAGATATGGTTGATCGACTCGATGTACTCTAACCATATTAAAAAACATGAAGCATTCATATCAAAATTGGTAAAAACTTGTTTGCTTTGTACCAAAACACGTAAAACTTGAATTTTGGTAAACAATTGATTTTACTGAATTATGTATTGAAATGAATCATTACAGATAAATGCAATGGAGGTGTTGATAAACACCCATGACAGTAGATGGGTACAGGGTACCTTTGGAGGGTGGCCTGTTGAAAGCGTCGAAATTGTCCACCAACTAGATATGTGAGTCCAAAACTACTTTTTAAAAACTTACCTTCTGTGTGTGTACACAACTTATGTTTTCACTAATCTTATTGTTGTTTAGTCACTAATCTTATTACTCGTCCTCTTTGTTTAGTGTTAGTTGTGGAGTTATCATGCTAGCTTGCATTAGGGCTAGCACGGATGGTTTTCAAACAAAGTATCAAATGGTCAGTACTTTGTTTTGTACTGTTTAATTGTTTGGATTATGAGTTGAAAAATTATGATATTTTATATCATATCCTTTGATTGACAGGAAGGAGGAGTTGATTCACAGGACATGGAATTTGGTCGGACATAGTTTCTTATTGAGGATCTCCGTTCAGTTTACAATGAAAGACGGGACTTTCTTGATGGCTTAGTTGTGTTGTATGTGGCTTATTGTATGGGTTGTTGAAATATTTTGTATATTATCTTGTTTTGAATTACTTTGTGCTAAACAGTAAGTTAATATAGTGGCGGGGAAGGAGTGGAAACACTAAAGTGGTGGGTTGGTTTAAGGCATTGATGTTACATTAGACTAACTTACTTGGTATCGGTGGCATACCAAGATGACTAGATGCTTTTGCAATGCTTATCATGCTTATTATTATGATTTAGCATGCTTTTTTGCAATGTACATTTGTAGATCATGGTTTAACATGCTTCATGTTTAGTTCTGTGTACACTCACTCAAATGAAATGGATGGTATACCATCTAACATGTGAAATGAAAGGGATGGTACCATCAGACATGTCAAATGAAAGGGATGGTATATCATCAAACATATCAAATGAAAGGGATGGTATACAATCCTCTACCATCTTATGGTATAATGGTATACCAACAACAGAATGAGGATTTAAGTAATAACTGATGTGTTTGTATGAAGTAATAACTGATGTGTTTGTATGAACAAATTTTTGGAAAAGTTTAGTAATGTTTTATAATGGATTATTTATTCGACTCTTCAACGTAAGTTTGTGTAAGTACAACAATTTGAAAAATTTAGATTACGACATATATGATCCATATAGTTGTTATTTCATAACGAGCCTCTGAGCCTAATGCCTTGAAGGAGGTATAGTAATAAGTAATTGTAATTCGCATTAATTCATGCATTGAAATTAGTTCATGTCAAAAGCACAACAATTACATGACACGTCATGAGTCATTCATGTAAGTAGGAACTCAATCTCCTCATAGGCCATTCCAAAAACTATACCATGACTATCAGTATATTAATTTACAAGTATACTTGCTTTTATTCCTTTTAAGTGAACTGATTTATCATGGAGAATTACTAACACTGAGTACACAAAAACCTACATTTTGTACTTATAAAAACCTTTATTTACTTTATGTAAAATTGTAATTGCTTTTAATCGTTTAGGCTAACTAATTTATCTTATGTTTAAAACTATTATTTACCGTCCCCTTAAATTGTACTTGTGTAGACACCCATTTGTGTCTCCCCAAAACCAAACCCAGTGATGAGTGTCTTTCACGTCGAATCATAATCGAATGAAACGAAAGTGTGGAAAGGTCTAGTGTTGCGGAAAGTTTTATTTCTTTTCTCTTTTTTCTGTTTTTGAAAACTTTATTTTAAGAAAACAGCCAATCCAGTTTGGTTGGTCCATGATATGGGTCCAATAGTGGTGTAGTTGGATGGGGCTAGCAAAGACCTTTCCAACGATATATTATAAGCCCAATTCCGATGAATATTGAGGAATTTATGGCCAATTTACTAAACTGGGCCCGGTTTGAGCTTTAAGTACGGCCCAATGATCTAGGGGAGGGCCTAATATGATTTATCATTCCTAATGCAATGAGGAATGGTTTTGGTCTTCTAGAACATTCTAGAAGGTTTTTATCATTCTTAATTCAATTAGGATTCTTCAGAGTTTTAATCAAGATCGAATAGCATTTTCGACTGAAATTATATTATTTTATCTTCCAGTACGGGAAATTTATCGGATTTTCGAAAACGCGTTGAAATCCAATTTGGCGTCCAACTCCAGGCCTTGGCGCTTGGAATCAAAATTGGCGTCAGACGCCAGCCATTGGCGCCTGGCGCTAGCCACTCAATGAACCAGGGCTGGCGCCAATGTGTTTTTGCGGTCTTCAGACTCTGTTTTGATAAATTATCTTTTTTGGATGATTTTCTCTATAAATATCGTATCAAAAACTCCGTTTTCATGGATCGTCTACATCTATCATCCACCAATTCTCTTTATTCTTAAGTCTTCATCAACTATCTTCATCATTCACCAATTAGCATTTATCTACAGTCAAATAATTCTTTTCATTCATCTCTTTTCATCAACTTTCATCAACATTCTCTTCTTTCTTTTCTTTCTTGCTTTAATACAAAATTCCGCATTCACAAGGTCTTGAAACACCTAGCCATATTCGAAGTTGTCTTCGCCCTAGACGTGAAAGGTTTTAATTTCTGAGGGTTTGGTCCCAAATCTCTCTTTCAATTATTTAATTTAATTGTTTTGATTATTATTTTCCTTGAAGTTACTAACGTGTGTATTTTGTTATTAGAAAGAGGTACGAGGCATCCAAGTAAGTGCCTTAATTGATTAATTGATATTATGATGTAGATATCATGCTTAGATTGTTATTTTGATTCCTAGTATCATGTCTAGGATAACTTTTAATATTAAGTATGATTAAAAGTACGATGCTTCCTATATTCTTCCTAATGTTAATTCATGTTAGTATCATGTTAGGGCTAAAGATTTGATTTTTATTGCTTAGTGACATGCTAGGGTTTGTTATTAATCTTGTTAGTATCATGCCTAGGATCTTGCTATGCTTTAACATGATTATGATTATGATTGATTATTATTAATGATATTTATTATTTATTATGTTGCTTGATGCTCATTATTTATTGCTTGATCACACCTTTTATTGCATGTTTAAAGGGAATTGGTACTTGCAACCACGCTTAATAAGATATTTAATAATCTTGTTAGGGTTAATTGTGATTATAATTCAAGTGATCGCCAATAATAGTTTATTTGTGCATTAAATTCAACCAACATAGTTTAAACAGGTTTAGGGTTAATCCTACTGATTGTATGTTAATTAGAAAGCGCACATGAATACGAGCAGAATAAAGTAGAGGCCTATTATTAGGGCAGGCTCAATCTCTTTTAGGTTGGGTTTGTACCATCATCCCCGAACTCTTATTTGGTTCATGACCTTATGGAGTTGACGATCTCTTGGATCGTTAAGGGGTGTAACCTTCACCTCGTGAACGGTTTACAAGTTCCTTAAAAACTTGTTGGCGACTCTTTTGCTCTATCTTCTTCCCTTTTGGACGCCACCGTACTTTAGTGTATGATCACAGTGGAGTTCAAGCTAGTGGGATTTTTAAAGGCTTGAAATTATTCCCTACAGTTTTTGGCGACTCCACTGGGGAGGATTTCTATTTTAATTCCTGAATTTGTTTCGGCAATGATTTAGAATGAGTGGATGAGACTCGAAAAGTTCTAAGTATTTCATGTGCGTAATTTTGATTAACATTATTGTCATATGCATAAAAAGGTTCTCATTGGAAAGACCATCCGTAATGAGTAAAAAACATAGGATTTTACACGTAGGAAATTTGAGAAATGTTTTTCACATCTAGGACTGAAATAACACCGCGCGAAACTGGATGATTTTATTGAGCACAGAAAGCTGCTAAGGCATGTGGGAAGTAGCGTCAGGGGCCAGAGCTTGGCGCCAACATTTTAGTCGTAGCGCCAGATGCCAGTATTGGCGCTAGGCGTTACAGCTAAAAGTTGGCGCCAGTCTCTGTTTGCTGGCGCCAATTTCCCCCAATACCGAGCCAGAAATATGCGTTCTAATTTCGACCGGTTTTTCATATTGTTTGCTCGATCCTACTTCCTGATTGAATTTTTTCTCACTTTTCTGAAACCCATATGTGTTCTACATATGGACATAACCCTCTGGGAATTCATGCTCTATCTACCCGATTGAACGCTCCTGGCAACAAAGGGTACATCTGAGAGGTTGAATTCACCAAACCATGGAAGCGAGTTTTTTCTAAAAACTCGCGGTGTCCTATCCACACGCGTTAACCCTTCACGGTTAGGCTTCTACGCGGTGCATCTGGACAATTAACCATGGACCCTATTTGACCAAACCATATCCTGAACTTTAGAGAACTAGAGCCATGGTTAGGTTGCGAACTCATTGCATCATATTGTGCCTACTTGACTAATTGTGCATTATTTGTTGTGCATAAATATTCTATGTTCCTCTTAACCGTTTGTTGATTTGTGTTGAGATTATAATTAATGACTTAAAGAACTTTTCCTAATTAATTAATTAATTATTTAATTTGAGTCAATAAAGTTTTTTCTTCTTTTAATCGGAATCGACCTAGTACGACTTTAGGCATACCCCAGTTGACTAATAATACCGAAAACAGTCCCAAACCGAGGCTCCAATATTGGTGCCAAAATCTGAGCTGTAGCGCCACTGTATGGTGTGTAGCGCCAGACATTTACTAAAAAGTCTGGCACCAATCACCATATTGTGACGCCAGTCTTATCGCTTGGCCGACAGTTCGGATTATTTGTCGAGTCATCACCTAATGTCTAATTAACCAGTTTGCTAATTAATTCGGTTATTTCCGCTGTCAATAACACCTTGTGAGGTCATTAATCGAGTCTTGGTCACATAGTCTAGCCACATGGTCATGACACGAGTCTTAACATGTCACCTACACTCACTAGTCTTAGCACACACTTTGAGTACACATCACCATGGCCATGTCTTAGGTTCATGCATAAGTCGGTCTTTTCCGTCATTTGAGTTAGGGTACATTCTACTCCTAATTCTTCATATCCCTCCATCTAAATCTTTCTTCACATTCTTCCATCTTTCTTCACCTCCTCCATCCATTACATGTTGAATAAAGTTTGAGTCAAATAATTAACAATAAGTATCCCCAAATTCCTTTTCCACAGTACTTGGTCGAGGAGAGAAGGGCGATTAATCAAGGACAACCTCTTTATTCAAGTCTCGCTTTTTGATAAACCGATTCGTCAAAAGAGGAAGGCTAAGAAGATAATGGCAACTCAAGAAGAAGTCAATGAGCTTAGGAACCAATTGGTTACCATGACTGAAACATTGAAGCTCCTCACACTTAAGGTCGATGATCCCGTGAAGCAACAACGGATGGATCTCATGCAAGAGAGTCTAAGCAAGCTATCTAGTGACTATAAATTTCAGGGCATGATTTCGCAAGGGGTCTCGCTGGACAAGGAACTTCTTCTGCAGAAGTTCAATGCCAACGACATCCCAAAATTCAAGGCAACAGATAATCCTTACTTCCATCTAAGAGCTTTTGAAACTATAATGACCATTAAGGGTATCGATAAGAAGGTTTTCCCCTCTCTGTTCCCACTATCTCTTGAAACCGTTTGCCAACAATGGTTCTTCTCCCTTGACAAGGAGAAAACCTCTACCTGTGAATCGATAGCAAACGCTTTCGTTGATAGGTACAAGTGCAATATCCAAGTTGAAACCGATCATAGACAACTTGAGATGCTAAGACAAAAAGAAAATGAAGGCTTTACTTCTTTCTTTAATAAATGGAGGGAAACTTCCGCCAAGATGATTGAGGTCCCCACCGAAAAGGAATCTGT